ATGCGATGGACATCGCGCGGTCGATCCTATTCCGCAGAAGGTCTCGACGCTATCGAGACTCGGCGCCGTGACCTGGGAGCGACGGGCGGTGGGGGGACCGTCGATAAACCAAAGGCAGGAGCAGATAAGAGGCCGGCTGACGAAGGCACCGGCGAGGGCAGCAGGAAAAAGAAGAAGAAGAAGACTAAAGCCCCCATGGTGGCATCGGAGGCTGAGGGGCCGAAGAAGGCGCCCGTGGGTGAGGAGAAGGCGGTCAGGGCTGGCACCGCGGGATCATCGGCGGGAGGAGGGACTCTAGCGGGCGGAGTGGAGGATCTACTCGGGCTCGGTGGAGCGAATAGCAAGGTCATCGCTTATGCCCTGCTGAAGACTGCGAGGGGTGTCATGATCGGCGAGGAGAAGCGTAATGAGAAGCGCAAGATGAAGGAGCGCGAGGCGCGGTGAAGGAGCGTCGGGATTTTTCCTTTTTGGTCAAAGCGGTTCCCACTTTGGGAGGGCGGATGTAACGTGCCGGTTCTCCCGGAGGTCGGACCGAGACTATATTTCCTTTTCGAGCAAGCCGGCGCTGGCGCGCCGTTCCCTTTTGATTATCATTCTACTACCACATGCTCCATCTGACGACGACGAGGGTATAAAGTCAAGCGACCTCGTCGTCGGGAGCTCACCTTTTGGTTTCTTGTTTTACCTTACTCGAGTGCTCAATCCGAGATCTGTGACTCTCTGCTTGTGCCGCTCGAAAACCTAACCGTGTGAACGCACCTTAGCCTTATCGGGCTTTGCTCGCGTCACAACGCCCTTCGCGTCGAAATTGTCTGCCCCGAGCTCGATCTCTTCGCTCCTCCTCCTCCCTCTCGTCTTGTCCGCATGCATTTATGACGATTTCCACCGATGGCCTCCCGCCGTCGTCTCGCCTGCTCCCGATCAAGAAGATCTCTCGTTTCGCTGATTTAGACCTTGCGGCGGCCGCTTCGACTCTCTCGGAACTGGCATCATGTCTCCGCTATCTGCGCGCGATCTACATCCCCACTATCCGCGGTTCTCGTAGGATATCCAGACGCGGGGGCAAGGCGGAGGAAGCTTTGACGCTTGGACTGGGGAGGAAAGGCGAAGGAGCGCCACCTGCGGAGATTATCCGCGAAGACCCCTTCGAGCGCGCGTACGCGCTGCGCTGGCTGACAGCCGTCGTCGCGCACATTGGCTCGCTAGACATAGAAGACATAAACGCAGCCCAACTTGGCACTGTCATAGAAGACATGGAAATAGACCGAGCCGGCGCCGTCGAGGTCGTCGTTAGGGACGCTGCCGCCCTCCTCGCCGTGCTCTCCGGAACCGCCGGCGCTGGTGTGATCACCCGTCACCTCAAGTTCGGCTTGGACGACGTGATCGACGTTCAGCTCACGGACGCACCCCTGGACAACGGCGCGTACGAGAGCGTCGGTGCCCAGACGTGGGGCGGCGCGTACGTGCTGGCGGAGATGATCGTCGAAGAGCCGGGGCGGTTCCTGCCAGATTGGTATTTAGATGGGCGTAACGCCCATTCCACCCCTTTGCGGGTCTTAGAGCTCGGAGCTGGGACGGGGCTCGTCAGCCTCGCTTTGGGCAAGTGTTTAGACAGACATCGCCGGCATAAGCTCGATGATGTCCACACAGACGCCACGATCCTTGCGACAGACTTCTATCCGTCCGTTCTGCAGAACCTTCAGAGGAACATCGACGCCAACTTCCCTTACCGCGTTGCTGGCGGTTCCGCATCAACTTCTGGTCCCGCGCCGCCGGCGCGCGTTTCCTCACGTTTCCTCGACTGGTCCCAACCTCCGCCCGCTCCATATGAAGCAGGCACGAATGGGTATGATACAACCGGCATCGAGGCTGCGGACCCGTTCTCGCGCCGGTTCGACATGATACTAGGTGCCGACATCATCTATGAAGCGCAGCACGCGTCCTGGATCCGGACCTGCGTAGAACGGATGTTGGCGAAACCATCTTTACACCGGGGAAGTTCCGGGCACGACGGCTTGGACCTTTCCGGAAGGGGAGGAGGCAGATTTCACCTCGTCATCCCCTTGCGGGCGACGCACGATGCCGAATCGCGCACGGTCGAAGAAGCTTTCGCGTTCGCGCCCCGCGTCCGGACGCCACCTACGTCCCCGGACGACCTCGAACTCCGGATCTTATCCAAACAGGCCATCCTATGCGAAGGAGGCGAGAAGCGCGGGGACGACGAAGTGGAATACGCTTACTACACAATCGGATGGTGTTGAGCGCGATAATCTCGGGAAGTCGGCGCTGTTTCTTTTTTCATTTGGGATTGGGTTTGAAGGCCGCTGGGAACGTGCATGAGGTCGCTTTTATTAAGTAGTGCGGGTGTAGAGATGCGTACTTCCGACTGCGGTGGGCAGATATGTGGACCGTAGGCGCTTATCATATATATATCAATCAGAAGGCGCGACATGTGATGAATCCCAGCTTCCACGATGAGGTCGGCCGCTTGGAGCACTACCACGACTCTAATTGGCAAGTTTGTCACTGTAGGTTCCGTTAGTCTCAGACGCATCAACGGAGGATCTCATAAAAGGCGAGATGTCCTTAGCGGGAGGGATAAAGTGATGATATATACCTTGCCTGAGTCGCGCCCTTTTCGGACGTGTAAGGGGCGTGTGCATATGGTATGGAGCAGAATGCAGTCAGGATCGGCATCTCCGAGTGAAGCTTTGAAGTGTGATCTACCTTACCGGTGGGGCAAGTCGACTGGAATAGCCTCTCGCACTCGATGTGAACCTTGATATCAACCTTCACAATCGGAACTGCATTTCCTGGGCGAATGAAAGCGCGAATCTCTGAGTTAAGGTGTGTCATACGCATGCCGCTTCTCGAACAAGTGCAATGTGTAAGCCGAATAGAATTGGCAGACGTCGCAGGATTGACGCCCATAAAAGAGCACCGCCAGTGGGAGGTGTATCAAAGGAAGCAATGTGTAAAAGTGGGCGACTTTAGGGTAGGCAGATCGCTGCCCATCTTGACTGCTTACCACGACCTCGACCCGTGCCGTTTTACGACCTTGTACGCAGCGAACAAGGCTATCCTATGCACAACTGTGACTCTCTGGTCTCAAGACCCGCTACTGCCATTGTTATCGCGTTGGGATACACGTTTGGCTGTGCTTCGCTGGCTGTCGGAGATTCTCATAAGTCCGCATGGTTCTTCGAACCTCTCGACCTTTGTCTTATTCTCGCACCAGGTGCAATTTAGCCCGTCAAGGCGTGTGCGCTGTCAAACCTTGGTCTTCCCGCGTCCCCAGCTTGCAATGCTTTCTCCATGCCGCGAACGCTAGCGCCGCTATGTAAAGCCAAGCTCACTATCTTCGTCTTCGGCCACGCCGATCTCGTCGCACTCTCAGCCCTGTAACAACCCATACCCCCCGTGTTTCTGTAGGTCGATCACCATGAGCGCAGGCGTGAGCTCGTCCCGCGTCGCGGCACCAACGACGGCAGCAGACGATACCGATCGCGTCAACCCAGCGATCGTGACAGCTCACCCGGAACCGCCCACAGCGCCTCTGCGCATCGAGGTCGAAGGGCCTACGCCGCCTTCTCAACCTTCTCAACCGCCTCTGCCGTCCTTGCCTAGCTCGCCGTCTGGGGATATCCCGAGCGCGGCCCAGCCCCAGCCCCGCGGTTCTCCTGTCATCGGGAACGCCAGCGGTAACGGGAACGGGAACGGCAGCAAGGCCATACGAACACCGAGCCCATCCGGATCTCGTGTGCCTGTCAGCCCGCGCAACCCCACTCCTCGTCGCACGTCAAGCATCCCGGCTCCTCAACCCATCCCACTCAATTTCGACGCTATCCCGGAGGAATCGTACTTCGCGCTTCGCACCGCGCGGTCCGTGCCCGAGTCGCCCTATGAGGCTGCCGACCGCCTCGCCTATGAGCTTGCCAGCGCACCCGGTAGCTTGGGCCGCGCCTTGAGCGACGTCAGCGGGAACGTTGCCCTGCATACCCAGGTACTTGAGGAGCAGGGACGGGCCACCACGGAGCGCGTCTCGCAACAAGTCCAATTGGGGCAGGAGAACTTGCTGCGCGGTTTGGAGCAGGGCCAGGCCGATCTGCAGAGAACCGTGCAAAGCGGACTGGAAGGCATACAGGATCGGGCCGAGGAGCAGGTGGACCGCGTGATAGACAGGACCGAAAATGTTCTGCACAACGTGCTCAGCAGGGGCGTCAGCCGAATCGGAGCGGGGATCGCGGATGGACTACTCGACCACGCTATTCCGCGGGTGCTCTTAAATGATCCTACTCGGCGTCAAAGTACCCTCGATGTGAGGCATCTCCGAGCGTGGCTGTACTCATCTGATCTATTCCGTGCAGACAGGGATATCAGCGCGTGAAATACAGAAGCCTTTGACGGTAGCCATGAGATTGGAGCCAACGTTGAAGACGGCTCGACGAGAGAGGGAGAGGTTCGCTATAAAAGGTCTTTTCCCTTACCTGATAACTCGAGCGTTCTCTTTGACCCCAGTTCACCAGCCCGGCTTAATGGCATAGCCCTAAATGTTGCAATCGGTATGCAAGTGCTCCTGGGGGCGCTCACTACGGGACTTGCGGCCGCCACAAGGGGGCGATCCGTAAGTAACAAACCTTGGTAGTAACGTCACTCGTTTGAGCTGATCTATGATGTCTGCAGACATCGATCGTAGTCGCCATCTTCGGTGAATATCTCTGTTCAGTCGACGATGACTTGCATCTGATGTCGATACGGAACATATATAGGCGGTGCGTCCACATGCGTTGCTACGTACCTTGCCCGAGCCAGAGGCACCGGCGAGCCGGAGAACTCCAAGATCCGGGTACGACTCCTGGACCACTTTATCCGCGACTGCGATCACATCATCTTCGACGAAGGATACCACGTCGGCGTGAGTCGAAGCAGCGTGCGTCACCAGAATGCCGAGATTCACCGTACGTACAGAAAACGGATGAGGACGGGGAGCATATCCGGGACCATTACGACGATAGGCTGGACGAATTACGGAGACGGCTCGAGGAGATCCTGGGCAACAACTCGGACAATTCCATGCCGTGAGTAGACTCGCCAGCGTGTAGCCGTTTGGACACAGGGTGTCTGCCGCTCACTCCACCTGCTAGGGAAACCGAGAAGCGCCGACAGCGGAACCAACAAAATGTCTGAACAACGGGGCGGAACGGGGCTGGATGTGTCATATACTGGATCCTGGTCGATGCTCGCATCGACGCTATACTGGCTGATATGAACCTCCGGACCCTGGTGCTAACATCGTGGAGCAATCAGCTGAATCGTCGCGTGGGTGGCGCATACGTTGGGTTATAAGCGTGGCTTATAGTCTGGCAAACATATTCAACATGCTCAAGGCACAGGAATCATAATATTGGATTCGTGACTTTGACATCAATGTTATGGTTGGTCTTCGTTGCACGAGTCCCGATGATCACTTTGCCGTTCATGTATAATCAAGACCATTAGCTGTCAATTGCTGTACTTGTGATATTTAGATTCCAGGAGAAAGACGCCACGGCGTGCGAGACGAGGAAGACGACGAGAGGCGTCCGGCAAAGACACGGCCACTTCCATATTCCACGTGAATATTGCGACCTCCTTGAGGGACGGGAATACCGTCGTCGACGCCAGTGCGCTATCGATCGCATCCAGTACCTGGAGCGATGCATTGTTCGAGACCTGTAGGCCAACACATTCCATGACAGGCGAACTAAGGCTGGAGAGCACCATATGCGGCACTTGTGGGTCAAGAGAGGAATTTATCCATTGACCCACTGTCAGTCGAACATCACGCAACGCTCTTCTCTTGGCTGTCAGAAGGCAATTGCAGAGGTCAACTACGGACAGGACTTGAGTTCTGCCACGGTCTGCCGGAAAGTTAGATTTACTGACCTGCAGTTGAGCCAAATGAGATCGAACGTGGCGAGCGTTTCTTTGGAATTGACCAGAATTTTCTGGAGCAGATCGGCATTGGTGTCGTTTCCCTCCGGTTCGAACTCAATGCTGGTCAGTTGACTAAGGGAGAAGCAAGATATGATGTTGATGGCTGAGTCGTTGAACCACAGTCTCAAGCGCCGGAGCGGACATGGAAGCATTTCTTCCTTCCCCGGCGGAATCAGCACATCCTCGAGAAAGGCAGTTCTGAACCAGGAGGGTCATCAAGTTCGGCATGCCGCGAAGTCACGCAATCCATGCATCGTAAGATATGAATGAGGATTCGCCCAAATCCAGGCTTCGAAGTTGCGGGAGATCTATGACATTGCAAGCCGTTGTCAATCGCGGACCGAACTCGAGATCGTCCAGTAACAAGCTGCGCAGGCCGACGCAGATACTGAGCGTTTCGATGAAGAAGGGAATGTGGTCGTTGTGCAAGCCGAAGTGGAGGGAACGAACGTGAGCAGCGATGTGCGGATGGGTCTTGAGCATATTGTGTTGCGTTTGAAAGGAAGGTTCTTCAGTGGCCTTGTATTGTGCATGCCGGTCATAGTGGACAAGCATAACGGTCTCAAACAGCCGTCGTTGGCTGATGTGCACGAGGGATCTGCACACGAGGGACGTCGACTTGAGCGTGTTCGAAGTCGGGCACCAAACTGACGATCGCTTCGAGCATCTCCTGGGGCAAACGGGCCATGCTGTGGAGGAGGTGAGGGACGTGAAGCCGAATGGAAAAGGCGTTCCTCCGCAAAGCGGCGATGTCGGACCGAATCGGTCCACCCGCGCGTCTAGCGCATCAACGCAAGTAGTTACACGCAGATCGTGCTGCAGTCCACGTCTTATCGCAACGTAGTGCATTACGACGCAAGTCACATACTCAGAAGGGTTGAATTATGTGAAAACCACACGATACATGCATTGATCGAGCTAGTACATCGTCGTCAAACAAACCACATCATGCTCCGGAGGCAACCGCCGGGCCCGTAGGGCTGCACATGATGGGCAGGTAACATAATCTGTCCAACGGTTTGGCTTGCATAGTGAGGCAATACGAACGTTCGAGACAGCATGGTAGTAGTAGCCTTGTAGGTAAATCAGGCGCCGAAGCCGTACAGCGTGCGGCCAGAGCGCTTGAGGGCATACACCACGTCCAAGGCGGTGACGGTCTTACTGCAAACGGAAACCAGTCATTAGCACCACGAGTATCGGCCCCGAGGTCTGGCATGACTCGCCGCTTGGCATGCTCCGTGTAGGTGACACTGTCCCGGATGACCTGTGCGCAGACGTTTAGTGATGACCGCCCAAAGCGCATATCTATCAGAAGATGCTCACGTTCTCGAGGAAGATCTTGAGGACGCCGCGAGTCTCCTCATAAATGAGGCCGGAGATACGTTTCACACCGCCGCGACGAGCGAGACGGCGAATGGCAGGCTTCGTGATACCTTGGATGTTGTCGCGAAGAATCTGGTTATTGGGATGTCAGAGTAAATTCTTGATGATCTCTCAAGCTCTTTCACCTTACGGTGACGCTTGGCGCCCCCCTATGGCAGAGGAGTCAGCGGGTGTTTTGTGGCAAATGAACCTCAGTAAACGAACCTTTCCGAGACCCTTTCCACCTTTTCCACGACCAGACATTGTATCTCGCTAGCCTACAAGAGATCCGCGTGAGTCGAGGGCGAGAATATCCAGGAATGAAGGCTCACTTAGGAGACGATGGTGGTCGGTGACGAAGGACAAGACGCGTCGACGACTTCGAAAAGAGCGGCCTAATGAGCGTGTCTGTAAATCACGTGCCGAGCCATACGGCATCGAGAGGGTTTTGCTCGAGCTCTCAGCTCTTAGTCGACGCTTGACTGCCTTGACCGCGATCCTTCGTGCCCAATATATAACATCTATCCGGCCCTCGATCTGATTTCTCGAGTAATTGAACTAAACCCGGCAACGGACACAAGCTCAAACGGCTTCTGAGCGAACGTTCGAGAACATGGTTATCATGGGTCGTCATCGACGGACAGCATTTGCAGCATCTGAACCTGTTCTGCAAACAAGGTTGCCCCGAGCCTCAACAGCAATCCGTTATCGAATGAGTCCCCAGCCTATGGTACTGCATAACAGCGATAGCTTTTCCCTATCGGTCAGTAACGTCGCTCTCACGCACTGTTTTTGGGTGCACCTTGCCCTACGATCACAGCATGGAATCGCCCTATTGCTGAAGCGCGGCTGGTATAAGTCTGGTGCCCGCGCTGCTTGCGCGTCTTCCCGCCTGTGTCCACGTCCTCCATCACATACTCCAAGACCATCGCAATAACAACCGAACATGTCTGGGTTTGGCGACAAACTCGACCCCACGGCCATAATCAAGAATATACTGAGATCGTATCCGTTTAGCATTGGCATTCTGCGGGAACTCCTGCAGAACTCCGATGACGCAGGGGCTTCTAAGCAGGCGAGTCCCTCTGACAGACGATGTCAGGCCCGTAGCTGATCTATGTTTATAACCTCAGGTATTCTTACTCGACACCCGCTCGTACCCAAGCAAAAGCATTTTCGACGATGATCTCGTTGACACACAAGGGCCAGCACTGTTGGCCTTCAACGACCGTCGCTTCACCGACGCAGACTGGGACGCACTCCAAAAGATCAACCAGTCTTCAAAAAAGGTGGACACGTCGTACGTTTTTGCATGTTGTCGTGTGGTCATGCTTGACACAATTTACCTAGCAAAATCGGAAAATACGGCTTGGGCATCCGCTCCTGCTACCATGTATGCGCTTATTCGATTCTCTCGAGCACGCCACTGATGGCCCCTCCGCACAGATAACTGATAACATCGAGATCAGGTCGGGTTCTGACCTGGCCATCTTCGATCCACACCAGCGGTTCGGCTCTCACCCTGGCGGTCGTCGCATCAACGTCACTGGAGGCGGTGAAGAATACTCCGACCAGCTGTCCGGATTCGGAGCCTTCATTCCCGAGGACGCAAAGTACTCGTCCTTCGACGGAACTATCGTCAGACTTCCTTTACGAACCCGACATGGCTCTTCCCTGAGCTCGGAGGTTGTACAGCCTGCGGTGATTAGGCGACTTCTCGTTGACTTCGTCCAGAAAGAGATGGACATCGCTTTGTTGTTCCTCAACAACGTCAAAATCATCGAGATTTACGAGGATTACGTGGATCCGAAGCATTTGCTGGCGCGAGTTGAGGTCTTCGACGGGCCCAGAACAGAGGCCGAGACCTTCGGCAGCATTCGTCACAGCGCCGAAACCTTCTTACGAACGATCACCCTGAGCACTATCGAACCAGCTCGACAGGTTACCGCGCAGTGGCGCGTCATGAGGACGAGGTTCACCCCTGACGAGGTTTCGCGCCAGCTCACCGACCGCTTAAGATACGACGCCTCCTTGGATGTTCAGGAGGAAAAACTCCTGCCGTATATCTCTTTGGCTTCGCCCACGTCACCCGAAGGACCATTCACCAATGGCAGGCTTTTTACCTACCTGCCGTTGCCCATTCCGACTGGTCTTCCCGTCCACATCCACGCTCTATTCGCTTTAACACCTGACCGACAACACCTTCGCAACGCTAACGAGCAGGGATCTCCGGATAAATCTCGTGACAGGCGAGTGGATACGTCGCCGTCGTCGGCTGGACAAGGACTAACTGCTTGGCCGAACAGGACCATTCTGGAATGGAACAAAATCCTATTCGACACCTTGATCCCGCACACCGTCGCCGATTTGCTCACCGTGCTCTCAACGTCCGGTCAAGTGGTGGACGTTCTGCGTGTCTGTTCGTGCTCTGCCTTCTACGCAAACGAGGCAAGCCGTCCAGACTGGTCGCCAGTCTTCGATCAGCTGCTCAAACTCGTACTGAACCTCGATATGACAATATGGCCGACTGTTCGACCCCCGGCATCGGCAGTTTCCGACGCGATGAAAGCTGCGTCGTCGACGCTGTTTTGCTCAGAGAATGAAGATTTCGCGACAATCAACGCTGTAGCAGAGGCTGGAGGCTTTGTCACTCGCGTGCCGAGACATCTCCTCGATTTGCTTCGAGGATACGACATCACAAAATCGCGTATACTTTCCCCTGAAGCCGTTCACCACGAGCTGCTGGTATGTCGCCTTGCAAGTGCGGACGTTATCCACCGAGCTGAAATCTTGATAGCAGGAGCATTGTAAGAAACCCCTCCAGGATCTTTCTAATTCATCAAGGCTCGCCATACTCGAATACCTCGCGCAAGGCGGCAACATGCGGAACATCTCAGGGTTACCTATTGTCCCGACTGTGGGTGGCCCGTTTGTAGCGCTGCAAAGGCTAGAATCAAGCCGAGGCTACCGTCCGCGTTCTCATATTCTTCTGACCCGCGACGACATCGACGTTTTCGGACGTTTGGCTCCCGATGCCATTGATCTGCGTCTTCTATCTGCTGCCGCCGCAGCGCAGCTCATGGACTCTGGCGTCCGTGATCTCAATGTCAGGAAGCTCAGCAACGAAGCGGTCCTGGACCTTATCCAGCCCGTGGTTGCAGCTATTTGTAATCAGGTCACTGAGGTAAATGACTCTGACGTCGTCGATTGGTCTAAGATTTTTTGGGCGTGGATGGCCTCCAAGAGCCGTCACAGCCTCATAGATGGCTTGCGCCACGTTCCAATTCTCCCTGACCGCAAACGCGGTTTCCGCCTCGTCGATGACGGCATATTCCCCATGGACGTCACTCCAACGTGCTGCTACGCACTTGAACAGTTCTGCGTCTCCTTCTTGCCGTCCGACTTTCCGCCTACAGCGCAGAAGTTTTTGCGGGAAAATGGAATCATGAAGTCTACGTCTTCGGTTCCGGACCTCCTCCAGCATCTGAAAATCCCGGAAAGTTGTTCGGTCCATCGGGCCGTCGAGCTCGTCGCCGTTCGCCGTCATCTTGCCTTGCAGATAGGCTCTTTGGCGGCGCTGAACAGCGCGCAGAGGGCCGTTCTTCGTTGTCTCCCGCTATATCCCATTTCCGTACCTTCAACCCCTGCACGAGCCGGACTACGTTCTTTGCCTCAGAACGCGGAGATTTATTGCCTTGACGGAGACGTGAAATTGTTGCCCACTCTCAGGAATACGGTGTTCGTACTGAACGAGGATGGCGTCTTGCCCCTGTGCCGGGCCATATGCGGAACGGACCGGACGGCGATTTCTCAGGACGGAGTAATCGAGTTGGCGGTTCATTACATGACCGAGCAAGCCCCTATAGTGCAGCGACAGGTCGTCGAGTACTGCGGGGACGTTCTTCAAGCTTCGAATCTCGCTCCGCGTGTTCGACAGCTCCTTGGGAGCACGCCATTCGTCATGGCGCAGGACGGGACTCGGAGGGCTCCAAACGACTTGTACATGCCGGATAGTCCAGTCAGCTCGATACTTTCCCCAGGACACCCGAGACTCCCGTCGCAGACTACACCAGATGAACAGGACATGGTCAAGACACTCGCCTTGAATAATTATCTATGCTCTCGTCCTTCAGAAGATCTCTTTAGAGAGACTATCGTGCGCCTCGGGAGCGGCAGCGTCGCTGACACCGAAGACCGCGCACTGAGCTATCGATTATTGGAACTGATGAACCAAGCAGATGCCCCTATACACAACTTGCCATTGCACGATTACGCCTGGCTTCCTGCTGGTCGTCAAGGGCTTCATAAGCCATCCGAATGCAGGGACTCGCTCAATTCTGTGGTCTTTGATCGGGTTCTCCCTGTCATAAGAGACTTCAACTTCACGCCAACGCTCCGTGCGGCGTTGAAATGGGATATGCCGCTGGAGTCGTGTATCTTGGCCCGTCAGATATACGCGGTAGCAAAGTCCCCTACGTCCATTCAGTCTCAGTGGCGCAGGCTTGTCTCAACGATAAAACAACTCGCATCCAATACACCAAACATAGCCGTTGATATTCAGGTCATTAGCGCCGAGCTCGGTGACTGTCATTGGGTCCCTATACGCCCCGGCCTCCTGGTGGATGTATCACATGCCGTGCTGGAATCCCATCCGGACGTGCCGAACTTCTACGCCGTCGCGTCCGAGTTGATTCATGACGATTACACCAGACACTTCCTACTGAATGTAGGATGCTCCGAACGGCAAGTTCGTCCAGGCATTCGATCAAATCACAAACTGACATGGAACTAGACCATCGAATCGAGTGATTGTCAATGATATAGACGCATTATGTCTCGAACCTCAGTGCTCCTCGGATGCAAACACAGATCAGGTCGTAGGACTGCTCAATGGCCTAGACTTTGAGAGCTTATCTCAGGAGGACAAATCCCGCCTCCGTGTTCCCGACGTCAACGGATTGTTGTGTCGTGCAACACAACTATACTACAACAACCTTGGTGCTCGTGCTCACCTCTTTCTTCTCCCACATGATAGAACATCCTCTCACCCAAGCATCACTCGGGAAATAGTCGAAGGTGTCGGAATCAAACTCCTAGGTTCCTTGTCTTTGAAACGACTTGATCGAGGCGACGACGGAATCATGCAGGAAGATTTGCATACACGAATCAACAACGTCCTGCGTCAGTACACCATCCATCAAGCTTTCACTGAGCTCGTCGCAAACGCCTGTGATGCGCATGCGCTCACTTTCACTATGCTTCTTGACGAAAGAAATCACCGAGCAAGAGACTTGATTTCGCCGCATATGTCATCCTTACAGGGTTGTGCATTTGTTGTGCATAATGATGCTATATTCCGGGACAAAGATTTTGAAGGGATACGCAAGGTTGGTCGTGGCGGTAAAGATGGTGATTTTGACACTATAGGCCGTTTTGGACTCGGAGCTCTTGCTATGTTTCATTTCACAGATGTAAGCACACTTTAATAGTGCAAAACCACCTTTGACACTGTGCCTAGGTAAACATCATTATCTCAGGGCGGGATATGCTCTTCTTAGACCCGTGCTGCGAGTATCTTGACCCTGGTACCAATCGATCGGCCCTACGCTTGGAGATATCTCAAGCTCGACAGTGCGTTGATCTATTGGATGCCAGACATAGTCTCATATCAAGTCAGGCTTTATCCCGACCACCTCGCGCCCTTCAACGACCTGTTCGGTTTCTCCTCAGACCAGGACTTCTACAATGGGGTGAGTCTTGGCTTACGTTGTGTGAGTTTTTCAGAGTGAGACACTGTAGCTCACTGGGCAAATCCCAGACTATGTTTCGCCTTGCCCTTCGCAGGGATGAGAGTCTATTATCCTCGTTCTTACCCGATGGCCGATTCATCATGGAGTTGCTCAAAGGATCGTATCAGGATCAGGCCCGGCGCTCATTCTTCTTCACAAACATTCGAAGAATTGGAGCATATCGGCATGCTCGCGAAATGTCCAAACCGCGTCGGATTTGGTTGTATAAGGCTGAACAAAGACCGGTATTCACGGACCCTGAAGGACGTTACAACGTGCACAGGCTCAATATCGGGTCATCTGACGAGCTTGAACTTACAGAAGACTGGTTGATAGCCAACGTCTCGTGTCCAATCTCGACATTGCCCTTGCGTCTTCAAACTTCAGACTTCTGTCGGTTGCATCGCCTACCGGAGACTCTCACAGCGGGTATAGCAGCTAATATGAGCATGAAGCCTAGGCCTGCCACAGAAAGAAACCAAGGTCATCACTTCTACACGACGCTACCTCTCCCTATTGCGATCACATTCCCCGTACATATTCATGCATCATTCATCCTTGCGGATGACCGGCGAAATATTCGATTCGAAGACAAGGGCGCAGGAAATCTGGAGTCTCAGTACAACTCTTGGCTACTGTCGGAGCTCATCCCCGATGTATACACGCTGCTGCTGCACCACATACCAGGACAAAACCTCGTATATTGGCCAGAAGGACGCAACGGAGGTTCAGGATCCATGCAACCAATGATAGTTGATGCCCTATATTCACGTCACATCGCCACGCCCAATCGAACCCCTTTCGTCGACCTGCTTGGAAGGCACATATCTGCCCAGAATGTGATATTGCTGCATGGTGTTATGCCGATGGTTGCCGCGGTTGTGTGTATGCTGAGACCTCACAACGTCGTCAGCATTCGAATGTCAGCTATGGACAAATTGATTGCAGGAGGGATCTGTGTCGCAATTGATCCAGCATTTCTTCGTGATTCCATCTTGAGCCACAGCGACTTCTTCGCCTCTGCATACCGGACTCAGCAACTCACTATCCGCCATCTCAACGCCCTGATCCAATTCCTACTGAAGGAAGGATTATCGTCCATCCTTGATGTGCCGATCCTTCCACTCAGGAATCCTATAGGAGGCCTGGCCACGATCGGTCGTTATGAAGGCCATTATCCATATATCTGGTGCACAGATCAGGAGACCGTGCTTCTAGAGCGTCTGTTCCCTACCACTACGCGGATCCTAGAGCCAAGCTTGGCGGGGAATCACTTGCTTAAGCACCCTGACTTGAACGTCAGAGCTTTAGGCAGTGCTGAAGTCGCAGAATTGATTCAACAACATTATTCCGGTCGCGTTTCATGCGAATTATCGTCTGCGAATGAAATTCGCGTTGATGCTCTGTGTAAAGAGCTAAGTCAGCTCAAAGTCGACTACGCCGCGATTAAGGAAGTGACATTAGTTCGGACGACTTCGACCTCCAGAGGATTGCGTCAATACCTGTCCATCGCGCGATGTTCAGGTGTCGACGTATTCCCCGAACCGTCTGAACACGCACGGTTTTCAGAGATCATTAGGTACCTGAAGCATCTCGGCGCCATCTTCGTTCCCGTCGGCTCCCTACGCAGCTCCCTGCAAGCTCAGTTACGGCTTGACGCCTTCAGCACGCGACGAGTACTGGATTTCCTGACGTCAGTCAAATCTTCCGGGCGGGACATTATTGGTTACTTCGCACAGCTGAATGATACCTCGAGCAATGCTTTAGCGAGACAGATCAGAACATGGTTGCTCGAGACTGTGCATGTCTCCTCCTACCTCGGAGTTGCAAAATATCTTCCCGTATGGCCCGTCATCCGCAGAGGTGAAATGCACCCCCGCCTTGTTCCCGCATCGGACGTGGAGATGCTAGCGGCCGGGTATACCCTCGCGACGTTCGAACCCTTCTTGCGCCACGGCCACACCATTGTCGAGTTCAGCTCAACCCTGAGCCGGCTACAGCTTGAACCGCTCAAACCTCGGCAGCTCTGGAACCGCCTTGATCTTACAAATACCACGACGGTCTCGGAGGCCGATTTGCCTCTTTTGATACCGGTACTGAAGTTTTTCATCAACAATGACGAGAGCTGGTCGAAGAGCATCTGCGTACCGGACTCTTGTCGTCGTATGAGAGACGCCCAGGACCTTTTCGCCCGTTCTGAGCCATTGTACGTGGCAGCACTTGCCGAGCAGCCGCAGCGCCTCATACACCCGGCCCTTCGTCATTTGGAGGCCGGGTTGAAGAAATATGGATTGCGCATGAACGTGGACATCGATAACTTCAGGGAATGCGCACAGGCAATCCACGATAGCAGCGGGGAGGAAGGCGCCGCTGCCCACGTTTTCCAGTATTTCGCTGATCGGCTGCCGCTTCTCATACCTGCTAGCAACGCTTGGGCATGGAACCGATTAGACGATCTTCGCTTCATTCCGAGATCACAGTCACGAAGTACGAGGCACGCGTTTCCCTTGAGCGGCTACGTCAAGGAACTGCCTTTCCTGGTTTCGCCTTCCGAAACATTGCGGCCGGAGCACGAAGCGATCGGATGGACACAGCGTGCCTTGCCTACGAGACCGGAAAACGGGCTTGACAGGCTGCTGATTGCTCGCCCATCGTTCGGAGTCCCCTCTGTCCGAGAGGTGGTGAGTGTCACACTTTCCATTTTTACGTCGGACTCACTTGCGTATAAGGTACATCACCTAAAGGCTCTCGCGCGTATAGCCAGCGATCAGGCTCCGACTCTGGAACTTCTCGGCGATATCACCCAGACCTACCAATGGTTGGAAGAACGGAACGTGGAGGCCGGGGATCACCTACTTGATTTTCATACAGAGCCATTGTTCTTGAATGTGGACGATCCAAGAACAGAGTGCTGGCAGTGGGACTCCGCAGAGCAGCTGATTTTCAACGCACCCGACGAAGATCGCAGAAGGGCGGTACGCGGGTTCCTGCAGCAGTACAGGAAGCTTATCCTCGCCGGTGGAGGACACGAGATTCAGGCTGCTGACCGTCCGGAAGTCCCTCGGTCTTCCGCCGAGGAGGCGTTGAACATCTGGAGATGTGCATTACGCTATTTCCGCGACCAGAAGAAGTTCGTTGACGTGACGATTTGGGCCGAAGATGCCGTCTTCGACGCCCATCGCGTGGTGTTGGCAGCGAGCAGTGAGTACTTCAAAACTTTGTTCGCGTCAGGTGTCGCGGAGTCGCAAGAAAGTGCCATCTCCGTGGCAGAGTATCGACAGAATATTGTACGCCACGCATTGAGTACGCTCATCTTCGTCAAAGCCGATTGGCACGATACCTGTCTGACATACCAACGTCACGATCCCCTAGGTTACATTTATGAAGGCATGATCACCAACGAACTCGACAACGAGGACGATCTTATCGAACTGCTGAGGCTGGCGGTGACCTGGGGGCTGAACGGACTCAACATCGACGTCCAGCAGCTTCTGATCGCGAAGATTACTCCTAAAACCTACCGAGACCGTGCGTTCGATACTGCTCGACATGCTCGCTAATTGAATCACTCACGAGGTCTTTGTAGTGCGACAACTCGGTGACGAATGCCGTTACTCCAGCATGGGTGAACCGGTTCCAGCATTGCTTGCGAACGCTTGCGTCAACTTCGCCGAGAAAAACGCACGCGAACTTCGATCCTTGGGAGTTTGAATGACGACCACAGCAGAGCGTTGGATCTTGACCAAGGTTCAGAGGACGATGCATTCAGGATACGTAGCTTCAACGACGCATGAGCTGATGTTGCTTATAAACAATAAGTTGAGATAGCACGTACGCGATGAAAAGATGAACATGACCGGGAACACGTCCTTCAGAAGCTGTAGTTGCGCACTCCTTCATTCCCCCCGTGTGCTGCACCGATTAGTCACCCTATGATATTCAGTATTCATATCACTTTTCCTCTCGAGCGTCACAAAGGTCTTAGTCGAACGAAGAGTTTGCAGCGCAGACGTCGCCACGGCCCTGACCAACTGCAGCTTGCGAAATGAAGGTTGAATTTCAGGAAATGACAATGGTCTACCAATGCGACACATCACTAGCTCAGGCTGCAGCTGCAGGTGATGGTGGTGGTGGACGCGTCGTGCCAAGGTCGCAAAGATCTTCCACGTGCTTGTGATTTATTCACCTCCTTCGCGACTCGCGTTCGTCTTCAAGTTCTACTAATGCCCGGTCGGACATCACGCTCACAGCGCGCCACTCAGCCGTCCCAGACCCAACCCCGAGGCACACAACGCCGTGCCAGCCGAAGGGATGAGGAAGACGAAGACATGGACGACGACGTAGCCCCTAACGGCACCCAGGACGACGCGGAGGACGACCTGGACGCGGATCTAGGAGGAGGAAACGCGAGTTCGCTCTGCTAAATCGCTCACATGCTCGTGGAAGTCTGATTACGCGCGATAGGAATTGGAACGACGCGCAGATGACCTCGTGAGGCTCGCGTTGTTCAGCGAGCAGAAGCGCATACCGCTTCGTAGGGACGACATCAACAAAAGGGGTCAGTGGAATCTTTTCTCGAGTTCAGGAATGGAGATCATGGATATGTTATACTTACAGTGCTGGGATCGCGATCGCGCACATTCAATGCGGTATTCCACCTCGCTCAGTCGAAGCTGCAGAACATTTTTGGCATGGAGATGGTCGAGCTGCGTTCGCGTGCAGCTGCCAACGCCGATGGCGAAGAGGGTGAAGGAAACGACGTACAAGCCACGGGTGTTCGCAAAAGAGGTCAGCCCATTTGTCATATCTAGCGTGGTCTGCAAGCGAACTAGAAACGCCTTGCCCCTAGGTGCCGCTACCGGATCTAAGACCTACATTCTGCGCTCGACCTTACACCCCACGATCATCGAGCACGCGTCCATTGCAGACGAGAAGATCATAGAAGAAGAAATCGCCGCTTTGCCCGATGACGATGATGAAGACGACGACGACATCGTCCCGCGGAATAACGGGAGTGTGATTGCGTGGAACAGCTCGGACCAGCTCGGCGCGGTCGGCGTGCTCTACGTCGTGCTCGCGCTGATCCTCGTCAACGGTCGTATCATGAACGACAGTACGTTACGCCCACCATTCCGACACCGAGACCACGACTAACCCTGGAGACATCGCGCACACATAGTGGACCTCCGAACGCAGCTCAAACGCCTCCGCTTATCGTCCAACAACAACGACCGCATTGAGCTCACCGCGACGAGCACGCACCACGATCTCCCTGTGGACGACTTCCTCAGGCAGTGCGTGCGCCAGGGCTATCTGGACAAGCAGAAGACGGGCGACGCAAAAAGTCAAGGTGAAGGTCCTCCCCCGCATCCTTCCGTTAGTTGCGGGACTCATGTGCCCATATCGTGTCTCAGGTGGGAAACGCGGCCGGCCGTCGCAACAACAAGAAGACGGCAGCGCGACGTACGAATGGCGTTGGGGTCCGCGCGCACAAAGCGAGGTGGGCGAACGCGGCATAGGCCAGTTCGTCGCCGCGTTCATGGTCGAGCGAACGCGGGACGGTACGCCTGTCTTCCACGAGCCCTGTCGCCTTATTGCCTGACGGTGAAATGTCAACGTGACAGGCGATGAAGACGAGGAGCAAGACGAAGGCGCCGCCACCCAAGGCCGGCGCAAGGAAACTCAGGCCAAGAATAAAATTGAGGCGGTCTACAAGGGCATCGAGCGCGCTGCTGGGGGCACGCTGTCTGACGTCAAGTAGACTGTGTCGTGCGCCGATGATGACCAGCCCAGGGCGTTGCTTGGATCTATATGATCCGAATAAGTGTATGCCAAGTTCACATTTTCTTTATACAGCTACTGTACACTTTATAATCGCTTGCGTACGCAGCACAGTAGACATGCATTTATTCATGGGTTTTGTTACAAACGATCCAGTGGCAAGAGGTCACGCCCACCTTTGGACGACGACGCTGTTGACCAGTCCGGCAGCTTCGATGGTCTGCGAATCGTCCTCGAGCACTTTCGCCGGGAACGTGGTTTGGATCGTATAAGCGCGCGTGTTGTTTTCCGGACGTGACCTGACACACGAGTAGTGTTCATTCAGCTGTCCATAGAACCAGATAGGTAGGACACGTACGCATTGATGAAATTCCTGATGTCCCCAACGGTATGCGTCAAGTTCATACGCGCGACCATCCTGTGCATCGGGTAGAGTACAACAATGAGGGACACGCCGAGGCTTATATGAAGGGCGGTGAACGAACCTGGTACCGTCCGCGAGTCGGATCTGCACGCTCGTCGTCGGCTTCGTCTGGTCGACCTCGAACCGCGTACTGATGCTCTCCCGATCCGGCCTTGCACTCGAGCTCACGCTTGCACTTGCCCTCGAGCTCGAGCTGGCGGCAGGAAATCCACCCGGCATGGACGGACGATTCGAGCCCGGACCTTAGACAGCTCGTGATGAGTTCCGCAACTCAACAAGTAAGGCGAAAGAGCTTTACCTGTGAATGCGGGGATGGGGCTGCCGAGCCTGTTTCCAGAGCCGGCGAAGGCGGTGACGGGCGTCTTGGGGGGAGGCACGTATTCGTCGTGCAGCCGTCGTTCGACGCGCAGCTCGACGGGTTGTCCGGGTTGAACTCCGAGTATAGTCGGCGGCGCACGTCTACATAGATGATGGATCAGCACGTAATAGCAGAAGGAGGGAAAGGCTAGGCTTACCCCGAGTTGAGCTCGTTCAAAACTTGCGCGTTAGCGGGATCGTCGTATCGCATGAGCGGACCATTCTCGACCGTGAATCCTTCTCGCCAGAACACGATGTGACGGATGGCCAGAGGTTCGTCATCTGATACAATCGAAAATACCATGTCAGAACGGTCTTCACGTCGCGCACCAAAGTCGAAACATGTACCTTCTGCCTGAGCTGGGGCATCCGGGTCCGGCACGTAGGTGCTATCCACTTCATCGGATCCCAGTGTATGCCCGCCTCCGAAGAAAGCACTCCTGCCGCTCCCGCTTCGAGGCTCAAGATCAGGCGGTGGGCCTGCCCTACAGGTAACCATCATAAGCGTCCACATCGAATCGACCTTCTTCGGGCAAGGGGGGGAGAGACTCACTCGGCCGCGCGCCTAAGCAGATCGCGTACGACGTCGCCCCCGGGGATGTTCCTCATCCGGTCCCGATCCGGGTTCTCGACGCTGATCCCGCTCCGCTCACCACCAGCATACCAGCTCTCGCCCTCATCGTGCTCGGGCACGTCGCCGTGGCTGTGGTCATGGCCGTGGCCGTCGTCTTCGTCATCGTCGTCGTGCCCGCCGAAGCCACCGCCTCCGAACGCCGATCCACTCCCAGATCCAGAGGTAGCGTCGCGCAGTGTAGCAATCCTCGGTCCTCTGGACGATTGTCGCGAGCTGTAACAACGCAGTTCAGCAGAGATGTATTGACGAGAGCCGCGTCTGGACGTACTTGTTGTTGGAAGATCCCGGAGAGGAGTTGTTCCAGTCACCGATACGTCCTATCCTCCGCGACATGATATCTTGCAACTGAGTATTTTGGTTGGTAGATGTGGGTCGTGCCAAGGTTGTGCTCAAGAGTCAACGGAAAATGCGGGCTGGATACGCGCGTCTCATCTACTCTCGCTTACGATGGAGCGTGTGAATTGCCACGTGCGTAATCTTATCTAGGACAGCTCCCGCGTCTTCGAGCGTATTACCTCTCATCGATCCTTCAGCCCGATAAAACATGGTTATGTGCGGTTACCGGTAGCAACATATGGTTGAATCAAAATAGATGGTCGCGCCCAGGATCGAACTGGGAACCTTCTGTGAGCATGTCGTGGATGCCCTTGCATCTCGATGTGAGACAGAAATCATAACCATTAGAACACGCGACCGCGGATGAGTTCGCAAGAGTGTACAACCATGGATACATAGCATTGCGGAGGAGAGAAGTGCATAAGTATCATCGATCAATACCCCAGATTATGAACACCAGTCACGAGGGTCAATCCCTCCATCGACCGAGGGGACGCACGGGGAATCTTGGGTCACTCCTGGATTCGCCTTCGCCCTCGGCATGGTTCCTCGACGCGGCGCAACACTCTCAGTCTCGGTAGACGAACGATCTCGAATAGCCCTGCAGGACGATGGCATGCATGTTCGGGAACATCGGCGTCGCGTCGCTATCCCCGTCGACTGCCAGAGCTTGAACAAAAGATCGGGAAAGAATGTGCAGGATAGTTTCTTGCCTCCACAGGAGCTGCAAGTTCTCGATGTTGTCGTAGGCCAGGAAGCGCTTGTCTTAGAATCCAGGGACGTGAAACCCGGCTGCCGATCCAGAACGGAGATCACGTCGGAGAACGGATGCCGTACTCGGTCGTCCGTGAACGAAAATCGGAGAACCAGCTCGCGCAGGCGCATGGGGTGAGCAGCCGAGTTGAAGTCCATTGTATCCAACCATCTTCCAAGCAGAGGGACTCGAGGCGCAGGTATTCGTCCGGGAGCACGTCGGCAAGGGACGATCCCGGCTGACCACGACACGCATCCAATTCGACCGACAGTTCGCGCAGGCGAGACGGTTGACCTGGATGACATCTGAGTACGAGTGGTAGGATAGAGGACGGAAGGCAGAGCCCCACGGATGCGATGTGGGTCTAGAGAGTCAAGAGAAGCGGTCTGCGGTCGGAAGAGATCCTTGCAGTACGTATGAAGAGGAGCATTTCGCGCGCGCCGGGCCATCTCCACCGTGAGCTCCGGGAAACTAAGGTCCAGGGTATCCCATAAACGGGTGCTGGCGAGCGCCACCCAGTCAGGGCCCGACTCGCTAACACCGTCCCGATGAAAGGTGAAGATAGTCAGGAGAACCTCGGGAGGCAGCCGGACAACGTGCAGGAGGAGATTCCTCCGTCGGCGGAGTTCGTGCATGTCAAACATGGCCCTCTCAAGGCGATGGTCGAGGGACTGTACCGTCTCCTCCAAGGCGTCGTCTTCGCTGCGAACGAGGGCACCCACACGCGCGTTCCGAAAGCATTTACAGGGCGGGGAACGTGCTGTCATCTGAAATATTCCTTGTTCATGAACGTGTTCTGAGAGTAAAGCGAATGGCATGCACTCACCCTTGTGAAGCGCGCTGACAAAACCCCTTCTCAGTGTCGTGCTCGTCCCCGTCTGTTCTAATGAGTACCGATGCCCGGTGCCGGTGAGTAATGACCGCTATGAGAAACAGGACTGCTGGCAAGAGAGCAACCCAAGAGGCGGCAGGGTTGTGCCAGAGTCATGTGCACGACATGATCTTTCATCGTCTTCATCTTGAGCACGAATGGCATCCTCCACTGACCATCGTTCCTACGGGCATCCGACGGATTACATAGACGTCCCCGGAACCCCGATAAATTCGAACTTACACCGCCCAAGGGGGAGTGGCGGCCGTTGCACACCTCGTCTGCCGTATCCTGCCCACTAGGCTGTTATCGTCAACCTCCACGCGAAGCTAAACATTGACAGTTGATATTTACACCCGCGCACGATGCCGATCGCTGTTCCAGACAAGTCTATCAGGATCTGTGCAGACAGGGGAGGCACGTTCTGCGACGTCCACGCGTGAGTTTACATTGCGTTTTCTGGATTGTCAACATTCAAAACATTGGGTCAAAAGGTCCTATCCCGACCCCGAAAATCCGGAAGAAAGGAAAGACATCGTCGTGAAACTACGTCGGTGATAGTCCGCTGTTGTATAAACACCAGTCTCAACGACGGTACGCAGTCTCGCAAGATCCCGGCAACTACAACGATGCGCCGACCGAAGGCATCCGGCGCATACTGGAGATCGTGACAGGGGAGAAAATCGAGCGAGGGGCCATACTCAACACTGACAAGATCGGTACGTGCTATTCGCTATGCGGGTCTTCATTCATTTCTCAATCACCTGGCATCATCCCAACAGATTACATCCGGCTGTCGACCACCGTCGCTACCAACGCCCTGCTGGAACGCAAAGGCCAGAAACACGCGCTGCTCATCACGAAGGGCTTCAAAGACCTGCTCCTGATCGGGAACCAGTCCCGGCCCAAGATCTTCGACCTCAACATCCGCCGCCCAGCCCCGCTGTACTCCACCGTGCTCGAGGTGGACGAACGCGTCACGCTTGTTGGCTATACGTCGGACCCGCACGCGGAAGAGCATGCCGTCCAGTTCGACGACGACGGGAACATTACGCGCGGGTATCGCGGCAAGGGTTGGGATGGTGTCGGGGACGCTGAGGGGCCCGGAAAGGTCGTGAGGGGCCTCTCCGGCGAGGCTGTAAGGATCATGAAGGAGCCAGGTGATGATCAAAGATCATATCCTAAGCCGTCGTGCTCACTCTGTCGCAGATCTTGACGCAGTGAAAGCAGACCTTCAGAGACTTTACGACGACGGGTACCGCTCCCTCGCCATCGTCCTGGTGCACTCCTACACCTACCCCGTGCACGAGGAACGCATCGCAGAGCTCGCCCGCGCCGTCGGCTTCACGCAGGTCTCCGCGTCATCCCAACTCCTTCCGATGATCAAGATGGTCCCCCGCGGCGTGTCCTCCACTGCGGACGCGTACCTCACGCCGATCCTGCGCCAATACCTGGACGGCTTCTTCAGTGGCTTCGATGCGAAGCTCAAGGACGGACGGCTCGTCAGCCCCCGGGTTGAGTTCATGGGCAGCGACGGCGGCCTGCTCGATCTCAAGAACTTCTCGGGATTGAAGAGCATCCTCAGCGGGCCCGCGGGCGGCGTGGTTGGGTACGCGCTGACGAGCTGGGACGAGGACAAGAGGCATCCGATCATAGGGTGAGCGACGCCTCACACACGCGCAACCGTACCATCGAACTCATCGGAGGAAAAAGACTGGATGTCGGCGGCACCTCGACGGACGTGTCGCGCTTCGACGGCCGATACGAGGTCGTGTACGAAACCACGACCGCGGGCGTCACCATCCAGTCCCCGCAGCTAGACATCAACACCGTCGCTGCCGGTGGCGGGTCCTGCCTAACCTTCCGCAATGGCCTCTTCCTCGCCGGCCCGGACAGCGCCGGAGCCGAGCCCGGCCCTGCCTGCTACCGGTTCGCTTCCCCTCTACTCTCCTTACCCTAGGAACTGACTGCCCCGTGCAGGAAAGGCGGCCCGCTCGCAGTGACGGACGCGAACCTGATGCTGGGCAGGCTCGTGCCGGACTACTTCCCGAAGATCTTTGGCAAGAGCGAAAGCGAGGGCTTGGACGTCGAGGCGTCTCGGGTTGCGTTCGAGAAGGTGGCGAAGGAGATCAACGATACGCACGAGAAGAAGCTCTCGCTGGATGAGATCATATACGGGTATGCATCGCATGAACGTCTTGTCGCTGTTCGTACGTTGCTCACGTGTATCGTTTCCCTCCTTGTAGGTTCATCAAGGTCGCGAATGAGACGATGTGCCGGCCTATACGTGCGCTGACGGAGGCCAGAGGGTTCGCGACGTCGAAGCATATGTCAGCTCCCTTTCGTGGTTCGCGCACCATGGAGCTCATATGTATCCGTTTTGCAGTCTGGCGAGCTTCGGCGGCGCAGGAGGCCAGCACGCCTGCGAAATCGCACAACTGCTCGGAATCAAGACTATCCTTATCCACCGATACAGCTCCATCCTTTCCGCTTATGGCCTTGCGCTCGCCGATCGGTGAGGTCTCTCTCACTCTTGTTGCTCTATTGACTCTTCACTGACGACTATATCAGCGCATTTGAGGTGCAAGAGCCGTCCTCCGCATTCTACTCCGCCCAAACCAGAACTCAGCTCAAGAGTCGCTTGGATGCCATTGAGTCTCGCGTGCGCACGGAGCTCAAGGAGCAGGGGTTCGACGGCAAGCGGGTGAGGGTAGAGCGTATGCTGAACATGCGGTTCGAGGGGACGGACACCGCATTGATGATCCTTCCCGAGGAGAAGGACGGCGATGGGAACGAGGACTTTGAGGCGGCGTTCAAGAGGGTTTACAAGAACGAGTTTGGGTTCCTCCTCGAAACGAAGAGCATCATTGTGGACGATATCAAGGTTCGAGGACTGGTTATTTCATGTCCCCGAATGTCGCCTAATGTTGTTCACCTCATAGGTCCGCGGCATCGGGAAGACGTTCGACTCACTCGGCGAGTCCGTCTTTGCCGAGGTCGCAAAGCTCACGCGCAAGCCCGTTGACCTCTCGCGGGCGGCGATGACGTACAGCGTGTACTTCGACACCGGCCGCGTGGACGATACGCCTGTGTACGAGCTCGACAAACTCGATATTGGGGATGAGGTCGAGGGGCCGGCAATGATCATCGACGACACGCAGACCATCGTCGTCATTCCGGGGGCGAAGGCGCTTCTGACGAGGAAGCATCTGTACATCGAGTTGGAAAAGCGATAGGCTCGCGCGGGAGGCAAGCGAAGATCTATCTACATGAATGTATGGTATCTAGGCACAGCAAAGAAATGTATCCATAGATTGTGTCGTATTCCAACTTGGATGATTGGAGATGGCTCGATGGCTTACAGGTGTTGAGTGTGACAGCGTGACGGAGGTTCCGAAAGTTGCGCTCGCGAATACCGGCCTGCACCGACCCCTGAAATTTCGAAAGCTCAGCGCTCAGCGCTCAGTTCTTTGCAATTTGCGAACGGTCCTTTGAGACAGTCATGAACGAACAACATGGCCCCTCAATTCCGTGAGTCACAATTCATACCCGTCTCGGACGTACAACAACGTAAAATTATCAACCAGTACGCGTGCTGCCCTGGAGCAACCCCACGCACTGCCGCATTGCCCGTCGTGTTACTGCGGTGAAGACCAAGGTCTATCCGTGGTTCATCAGGGCGAACATGACGTCGAAGATACGATGGCTTCGTATGACAAGCATATCGGGCGTTTGGTTGCTCAGATACGGCACTACCGCCGCCGGAGAAATCAACTGTCTCTCATCAGTCGCCTGCCCCCCGAAATCCTCCTCCAGATTTTTCTCATCCATCGCAATAGCATTATGGATTCTAGTCCCGGATGGATCAGCGTCTCACACGTATGCTCTCGTTGGCGTGACGTCGCGTTATCAAGCTCTCTCCTGTGGGCCGCGCTTGACTTGCGCTTCCCTCTTTTCACTAAGGAAATGGCGCGGAGATCTCGCGGAGTTCCGCTGCATATCGTACGTTCGCGACCTACCACTGCCGGGCCGTTGAGACCCCACCTAGCGCTAGCATCGCTCAATCCTGCATATCCCATCGCCTCGCTTCATGTGGTCGGTCACAATCTCCTGCTGTCGCAGCTGCTCAAAAACCGCCCTGGTCAATTGTCCGGTCTAAAGGCGTTTCACGTAGAGGTCTTGGACCAGGGCTTATTCCATGCGGTCCAAATGGACGATCATTATCCTTCCCTGGAGGTTATTTCCCTCCTCAACTTCCACGCAAGTTGGGATACAAGGCTACTGACAACACCCGTTTCCTTGCGATCCATCGATATAGATTGGACCGAGGGGTGGCGCCCGAATCGGCCTCCCCTGCGCCCCCCTCTTCGCGAGGTGCTGGCCATTTTGCAACGGCATTCGCGCTTGGAACGGCTGGTTTTGGACCAGAATCTGCCCATGGTGGACGACGCGCTCGGCGACCTACCGCAAGTCTCCCTTCCGAACCTGAGGTTTCTTCGCATCCACGACCACCTGCCGGTAACGCATGCCTTCTTCACGCATCTTCAGCTACCAGAATCTTGTCGAGTCGAGATAAAAGTCCTGGAGACGGCACATTTCCGATTGGATGCGATAACCCTCGCGTCGTTGACTCAGGCGGTTCTGTCTCGTGCACGAGGCGTTCAGCAGCCGCGTATCGCCATGGACCTCGACGAAGCCACGAAGATTGTGTGCTGCTCCGAATCTTGCACAGATGAGCCGGAGGTCAGCCTTACTTGGCCACGCGCGAGGGACGCACAGGACCAGCGCATCCTGCACGATTTCTCGCCGCTCGGGTCCGCATTTGGCAAGATCCCCGCCACAAAACTCGTGGTGTCCATAGGTGCGAAGGCGCCGAGGATCGGGCCAGATTTTTGGCGAAGGATAGCTGGAGAGCTGTCGTCCGTGGCCACAGTACACCTCAACATGCGCGGTCGTCTCCCATCATCTTTCGTACAGGTTCTCGCTCCCTCAGAAAAAGGCACGAAACGATTGTTACCGAACATGCGTACCCTCATCGTCGGCGGTGTGAGCATCGGGAAGTTCAAGGCGGAGAGTGATACTCGTACAGTCGATTTGTTGCTCTCGGGTTTGAAGCTTCGGACCAGCGATGGTATATTCAAGACTCTATGCATGGCCGACGGTCTACAGAAGACCGACGAATGGATCCGAGCTGGTGTGGAAAAAGCGATGCCGATCACCGTATGGGGACTTCGCAACTTGGAGGAGGAACCAGGTTCGACGAGGTAGCTGCTAAAGGGGTCGATTGTGAGTACCGTATCCGATATCTTCGATATTTGAATAATGCATCGATAACCATCGCGGATGGACCTAGCATAGATACTCTCCTTGGGATATTCGGTGCAGCTGGTATTGGTTAAGAAGTCAAATGCTCGGCCTCCGAACGGCGTATATGTTACAGCAAAATCAGCAATACCGGCTTCATTCTCGAGACCGTCCTTGATGATGATCCCTCAGTGGATATTGACAACGGAAGTATATTGGAAGACCTCGCTCATATGACTTCGGATCCTGAAGTAGTGAATGCGTTGCAACTTTCGGATCCTTCGCCCTACAAGTAGTTCGGCTCCTTTTTCATTTTCTAATCTTCTAAAGTATGAATAAGAAGAGCTGAAAACGCGCCCCAACGAGCGACGTGTCTCTGAACCTCCCGCATAGCAACGGCGGGGAACGTGAGTGAACAGACTTGAGCGCTTCAGCCTCACCGAACCTAACATATTCCTTTTTGCAAGCAGTATATGTCGTTCCACAATAGCTTCAATCCTAAATCAAAGAAGGCAACGTACAACGTCCGGGAACTCCACAGGAGTTGCCAACTCTCGGAAACTCGCCATCAGAGGATACTACAGAGAATCTGTTTTCTCTGCCAGACGATATCGCCTAGTCGAGGAACATCCAAATCATTGACGTTAATCGTTTTCCTACCGAGATCCACCTCCGCGTTCCCGTCCTTCATCGGGACGCCTGCCTCAGAATCTCGTATCCCACGTCTGTGTTCACGAGCGACAAATATCCCTTTCCAGTCCGCGCTTTTGGTCCACCTAGGATTTGCGCTTCGTAGGCATGGTGGAAGTTGTGGTGCAACGCTCTCGTGCGATACCATGTAGAGACGTATGGACTTCCTTACGCCGTATTAGCCCTGTCACCCTCGTTCCCCATCGCTTCTTGAGACCTCTACGGCGATAATCTGGGCATCGTGGTTGAAGTCGTGGGTAACACCCCGTTCGGGGTATGTACCTCGGACCCGCTCCCTCGTCTCCAGTTCCTGTCTCCAGATTGCCACTTCATATGGGTATTCAGGACCTTCCCATTTCTTGGTCACCTATCTCCAGTTGCCTGCACGATGTTGTGCGGGCATAGAGACCGTGAAGTGAACGGGTCACCATGACCTGCTGTTGCGCTTGATCAAGTCAATACTTGTCCACGCACCGCACGTACGCTCCCGAGATCTTCATGCTCATGATCCACTTCGACGACGTCAACGCGATTAAATATCTTACTCCGAAGGCTGAGAAGCCTGAATCCGGCCTTCCGCTAATCAAGTTGAAGCGGCTAAGCACAATGAAGCCATGGGAACGACGCGCTACGCATGCGGGGATGTTCTCACTCGGGCCGTCGTTCGGAGCGCTCTCCAGAGGCACTGATGCTGACTTTGGGCAAGGACGCGCCTCGCATTGGAGTGGACCGAGTTGGAGTGTCTTCGGTGAATATGCGGATGGGAGGCCGACTTCCGGTTCATTTCGCGCAATCGCTAACAGATCCGGGTGGCAAGACGGGTCCGCTGCTCCCGGGCTATGCGGATCCTCGTCATGACGGACGTTGCGCTGGGAAGCTTCAACGCGCTACGTCACGCGCGGACTGTCGACGAGTTTCTTGCCGCGTTGAAGCGCCCCTACCCGAAGGGCGGGTTCGTTCTCGGAAGTTTCGACGCTCGTCGAGACAGCAACAAGTGTGTCCAGGTGAGGTCGTCCCCTCGGTTGTTGGGAAAGGGGGCTCGTTTGAGGCTACAGCTGAAGCAGGAGCGAGAGACGGTGCCTAGCAAGTCTTGGGACCGGACCAGAACGTACGACCTTAGGTAGTCTCTTGGAGGAGAAAACGCGCCCACGCGGGAAAAGCATGTCATTCGGAGGGACGAGCGCAGGATCAGGGTACCTCTATCAGTCGCAATGCCAATACCCGGTTGATTCGCGCGCCCTCCACCATCCTGAACCCTTCGACGGCCCTTCCTGCGCTCCTAGTCGTCGTATCCCGTTACCGGCCGACGCGGTCTGTCCGGCACTACATGGTGGTTTATGCAACGTGTCAAAGTGGCATAAGAGGCATCACGCACGAGGGTAGGAAGTCGGAATGGGCGGCGCGGGCGTCCAGCCTAGGCTGCGTCGTATGGGAGGCACGGTGAGGACCATGATCGGGCCCAGAGAGCCTAAGCAAATCGAGTAGAAGAGGACCGGGTATTCATGCGCCTGCCGTTGCTAGAGACAGTAAAAAAAATCAGTTTGAGGCGCCTTCATAGGCTGGTGTGGAAGGCGAGCGAGCGTACCAGAGTCCGGTAGGCCGAGCGGAACATGGTGGTCGGGGATGAGAGGGTCGTGGTTTCCGGAGATAGGTTTATTGCGATAGGTCAGAAATATAGCTTAGATTGAGTAAGTAGATTTGGATTAACAAGTCAATGTAGCCCCTTTGTCACGTGAAGCTAATTATCCAAATCACAACCTCTCCCTTGCTCCTCGTTCACGCCGGTCATCTCGTCTGACGGAGGCTCGGGACGATATACCCAATCCAAAGCTGGGACCAGCTGGATGATACCACATCTACCAATATTTACGCAATGTCCTCTCGCCGCGGAACGCTAGAACAACCCGCCGCCTCTGCGCGCCCGCTCCGAATTGTTGCCTCCGGCACACTGTTCGTGACGCACACACTCTCTGTACCGGCAATACCAACTCCCTCGGGTCCGTCCTCGATGGTGACGGCCCGCGCATACTCGGTCACACACAATCGTGGGGGATCAGCGAGCACCGTGCTCTCCATGCTCGCGCAGTATCCAAACGTCGAAGCGATGTTAATCGCCCCGCTCAGTGGGGACGACGAGGGACAGGGGATTCTCCGTGATCTGCGTAGCGAGAGGGTGAATACCAAATACGCGAGGGTGTGGGACGATCTCGGTGTGCCCAGCGCATGGGTGGTACAGGCAGGTCAAGACGGCATCGCGATCACGTACGATGCATACTGACAAAACCTTTCTTTGCACACAGAGCACGACGACTCGCGGTCGGTGATCAACCATAACCCGCTCCCAGAGATCACGCACGAAGACTTCGTATCGCTGCTCGGCCCACTGCTCGCACCGGAGAACTACGCCCAGACGAGCCCGAATAACTCGTACTCCTCTCAATCGGGACCCCCATTGCCACTCAATATGCGCAGCCCGGCTCCTTTTGACTGGCTCCACTTTGAAGGCCGTTCGGTGAAGACGACGTTAAGCAACATGCGCGGCGTGGACGGACTCGCGCGGGAACGCAGATGGCGCGCACACTGCGTGTTCAGTCTTGACGTAGGACGCAAGACCAGGCAGGGCGTCGAAGCGGTGTGAATTCCTGTCCTCTTGTGTGCCTGGTGATCGCAGTGTCGTCCTGACGTTCCTGCGTTGCAGCTGATACCACAAGCGGACGTCATCTTCCTCAACAAGTACTACGCCCAGGCGCATTCGGCGCAATATGCCGCGTCGCCTCGCGCCTTTTTGCTGTCGCTGGCCTCCGTGGCGCCGCCACATGCGTTGCTGGTGGCGTATTGGGGAACGGAGGGCGCGGCGCTGCTCTCAATCCCCACTCGAGAATACTTCCAGTCGTCCGGATGGGTGCAAAGCACGCCCCAGCCGACACCAGGTGCTCACTTTTTTTGTCGCATTTGGAAGCTTGGTCACGATCATTGACTTCTCCTCACTTCTCGCAGCCGCAAGTGAAGCGACCTCCCGTAACGGCGCACGCGACTCGATGCTGAGCGACGGCACCGGCTACGGAATGCAGAGCGTCCGGACCGGCAGCGAATTTTACGCGGGTCAGCACACGCCGAGCAGCAGCATGGCCTTCACCGCGAGCTTCTTCAACCGGACGAGCGGCACAGACGAGAGCTTTGGCGGGCACCCGCACCGGGACTCGTACGTAGAGGATGACGGCGGCGATGACGACGATGCTGCGAGCGAGCAGACGGAGATCGCGGGTGACCGCCAGGCGTGGCGCCGGCGGCGGGAGGCCGAGGCGGTTGACGATGCCGGTGCGCAGGAGGCGTTCATTGCAGGGATGATATGGGCGCTGAGCAGGCGGCTGATGCCGCGACCGGTCTCCCCGTGGTCGCCGATCCCGACCACAGGGGAGCCGGACGACGCGGATATCAGCCGGTGGAGGCTGGAGGAATGCCTGAAGTTTGTCTTTGTCCGTGGTGATTAAGTGAGCTCGTGGCTGACGATGTATCTATGCTCAGGTTCGCGACGGAGATGGCAGGGAGGAAGGCGAGGATGAAGGGATGGAAAGGGTTGGCCGAGCAGATGAGACAGGCTGGCTGGGTCGACGGGTAAGGACACGAGGTTGCTTATACACGATTGCTATCATACGTGTTGTTCTTACCTCTTGATTTCCTGTAACATGCGTCCCTGTGAGCGTACTCGACGCCCCGTATCCTCACTTGGACTACCACTTTTCCACGTCGCCGCCCCACACAACAAGCGGAGCCACGCCTTCCATCAGAGTTCGAATCCCCTCGTTCGCTTCTCCCGGAACCTCACTGAAGCATAATGCCCTGAACACGCCGTCTTGGCAACGCCGCGTCAAGGCGGGGAGGATGCCCTGTATAGCGTGCAGTGCGTTGTACTTGCCGAGCTCCAGATCGGTCAATACGAGGTTTTGCATGTGGGGAAGCAGACGGGGCGTGTTTTCGTCGTAATCTGCCAGGACTTGCAGGAAGTGGACCGGGAGTCGGCCTCTGGTCTCCAGGCGAACACTTCGCAAGCCTTCGAAACCGACCAGCAGCTGTCGCCAGTCCCCGTACGTAATTCGAGAGGAAGAATGGTCGAAGGTGATGGAGAGCTCTGAGACGGGGAGGGCGCCGATCACAGGACCGAGTGAAATCAGGAGGGCGTGTGCGGCTCGTTGGCTCTGGGGATGAATCACGGAGGGCCACCTGAAGGAGAGCAACGGCCGTTTCTCTCCCGCCCGTGGTGTTCCTACGCAAACGAGCATGAAAGGGGGCCCAAGGAGCATCGCCAGCGTGGATGGCGAAAACGTATGTGCGTGAGCTAAGACGGATTCCGTGAGCGGCAACAGAGGAGACGAGGCCGAGTAGTCATCTTCGCTTTGCGCAATGCTCACGGTCACACAACATGACGGGGATAGTCGGAGGCGGGTGAATAGATGATGGGTCTCTCGCAGTAGGTCGTGGATCCTAAGGTGTTTGAGCTTCGGAAGGGAAATTGTTGGTGAGGAACCATTTTCGAGGTCCTCGCCCCGCAAGGAGGGGAGGGTCAGCTCCAGGTCGAGATGAACCAGGCGTGTTTGCAGTTGCAATACAGTCAGGACGGAAGAGAATGGCTTTCGACCCAAGATACCACGGTGGGGTGAATGAACGTCAATCGTGTGCAGGCATGTGGTGGTGTTCACAAGCGCGGACGTCCATTCGAGGTGGCATCGACGCAGCTGGATGGATTGGAGACAGGGATAGTCATCGGTCAGGACATTGTGAAGCTGCGCTTCCGTTGCGCCAGTGACTTCGACGGCGATCTCTCTCAGTTGCGATAACTGACCATGGCGAGCGTTGAGTAATATCGCTATGTCGCGTCCTTCAACGCCAGTTAGGTCAATCGAGGTAATTGGCGCCGATGTCTCTAAAGAAGATATACCCAGGAGGCGCGGGGGGTTGAAGACCTTCTTTTTCGAGTGCATAATACGAAGGGTAGTGCCTCGGGAGCGTCGTACCGTCTCCTCTGCCAATTCTGGGTACAGCAGATCGGGCGAGTTCCAAAGGATGGCGCTCGACAATGCTACATCACGCCAGAAGGAGCAGACGTGCGTTAACTTGATCCACTGGGGACTCAATCGCTCGGTGGCCTTCCGTACGTCAACGAAGATTCGGAGAAGAACTTCGGGAGGTAGGCGACTGATAGGTTGCAGGGTGTTCCGTTGGCGGCGAAGCTGGCATAATTCATTGACAAGACACTTGATACGGTCATCAAGAATCTTCACCGCGGGCACAGTGCCTTGTTGAGACAGTGTCTCTGGTGGACTAAGGTCGTGCTTCATGCATCGGCATGAGGGACAGTGAGGCGACATTGCTAGCCTAAGTAGGTGTATTTGACCGTGGAAGGTGAGTCCGTCGGCATCAACGATGTCTCTGATAGATGCACGATTGCAATCGGTGCAATGAGGAGGATAAGTCAGGAGAGCGTATGAGAGTGATTTTTCTCCTGAGCCACAGGTACAACAGAGACAAACTACAAAACCAAGCCGCCTTTACGCTACGCGCGATGGATGTCACATTAGGTGACTTATGCTGTCACGCCATTACGAGCGCATGATCTCTTCAGTCCTCAGGTTCTCAATTGGTTGGATTTTGAACGTTGAAAGTTGCAAAGTGTTCCAAATACGAGGACAGCTGTGTGCTATAAGCACGACCGCGGTATAAAAAATAAGTAAAAAAAAAAAGTATGTACATTAGGGAGTGATAAATAAAGAATGCACTGATGTCTCACGGCAGAAAGGAATGACATGGCCAAGGATTGTATTGTAGGCCGACTTTGTGCAAAGGTTTGTATCCATAAATGTACGCGCTAGCCCTCACATCTCCTCGCGTTCTAGACGGGACTTCTTTGCCTTGCGCGGCGCGCCCTTGGACCCAGCCTTCACCCAATCCTTCCACGCCGAGTACACGTCGAGCACGAACGCCTGGCCTTCGGGGCTCGCAGAGCCCTCGAGCGAGAAGTCATCCGGGTTCACGACGGGTGTGAGCCAGCCGTCCGCGTCCAGGTGAATAAAGGCGCCCGTCGTAGCGTTCTTCGCAGAGATCGCCTTGCGCGTCGCCTCCGCGTTCGGGATGTGCGTCGTCGGGCCGCCTAGGTTGACGAGCCGGTAGACGGTCGCGGCGAGGAGCGTCGCGCCGGAGGCTTCGATGAAGGTCGCGTTGTTGTCCGCGTAGCTCCAAAAGAGTGAGGTGTTCTTGTCCTGCGAGGTGAGAGTTGAAGCTCAGCGGCAGCATATGCAGGGAAAAGAGAGATACGGACCTGGTATGGGTAGATGGCGGTATGAATCTCGGACGTCCAGGCGAGGAGGTCACTCTGTTCCTTCAGGAGTGCCCAGTTGTACGGCGAATTCTTCATCGTGGCGGCGACGCGAAGCATTCCCGCTGCAGCCCAGCCGTTACCTGATTTATATGTGAGTATGCTGTGCAACGATGTATATCATGAAGGGTATTGCACCAGTAGTCCAGTGCCCGTGGTCCTGCCAGAAGCCGAGCAGAACGTGCTGCCACATGTTGCCGGCGGCCGTATCCCTGAAATACTGGCGATACAGCTTGATCTAGTTATACGCCTCCGCGACCATCGACTGGTTCCGGGTGATCACGCCGTAGTACGCAAGGCAAGGGGGTACCATGTACACGAAGTCGCTCCTGCGGTTCGGGGTACAATCAGTCGCACGCCCAAAAGACGAAACCGGGTTCGGGGAAAACGAACGCACCACAGCTGGAGGTCGTCCGCGCGGTGCGAAATCGCGCCATCCGATGTGTGCGACACATTCTGGAACAAAAAATCGATCTGGTCCTTCGCCGCGCCAGCATAGTCCTGGTCCTTCTGTCCCGTCCAATTGGCAACGATGACCTCGAATAGGTTCGACGCCGGGTCGGCCGCGGCGCCGTCCGCGATGAGCGGCTGCGGGCCGACGGTGTTGTTGTTGGATGTTGCACGGTTCGCGACGATCGAGCGCGCGATGTCGAGGATTTCGTTGAGCGAGGACAGCGCGTGCTGCGGAGGGGGCACTTGGCCGTTGAAGACCGAGTAGGCGGGCGAGTCGAGCTCGACGAGCGCCTCGGAGCGCGTGCCGAGTTCCCAGCTATGCAGACGCGGGTGTTACACCGAGAGACAGGTGAAATGGAGTTGAAGACGAGACGTACCTGTGGACAGCCCCTTCCGCCAGACGCGCTTTGACTTTGTCAAGATCGGCATCCGTCAACGTCTGACCACGGACGCTGGACGTAACCGTGCCGAAGGTGAACGCGGTCAGCGCGAGGGCTTGGGCGAACTTGTTGATCATCATGCTAGGTCGTCGATGGTTGCGACAAGAACCGAGTCTGGACGTCCATGTCCCGACGGTCGTGCTTTTTAGATGGTCTCGGGAAACAGCCCCCGCGAGAACACATGGATTTTCGGATGGATTCTGGGTGGGTTTCGGAGAAGCGAGTTCGGGGTGAACAGTCCTTGTGGCGGTGCCCACGGATGCAATCCAACGTCCCGGCACCGGGTTCGCTCGCAACCGCGCCAAGAGATCGCGAGCGCTAATCGGTACCCATAGATACGGTCACAGAGCGCCCAGGGCCGGATAGACACGTCTTTTGCATGTTGCTCAAATGCTGCTTGCATGTTCTACAGAACTGCTTGACGGAAGTTGTCGCTATGTCTTGCCGATCTGAAACGAAACCTTGAGCCAGCACCCCCCAAGATCGCATCACGTCGGGAACTTCCTTCGGGAGGCGCGCTTCAAAGCACCTCATGCACCATCATTCGCTTCCGGCATGCCTATGCAAAGTCTATGCACCATGATGGAAGCATGCATAAGTCTTCCAAATCGCTCGCAGAAAATGCTTGTCGTTCGCCCAGCGTTTCATGCTGCGCTAAGACGTAATAGTCATTCGTTTGATGGACTTGAATTTCCCATTCTTTGAGACCACCACGGTTTATGTACAGAGCACGATCTTCTCCGCAACCACTCCTGCTACGAAGACTGCTAAGCCCGAGAACAATGGAGCCAAAGCAAGGACTACTGACCGATTTACGTATATATTATTCCTTTGTCGCATGTCCTGTCTCTAACAATGAAAATTCTAACCCATCTACGTCAGCTCATCCACCTAACCCAGCCAAAAGACACGAGCCGATCCGACGATCGCTCGACGGCAACAGAGCACCGCACTCACCAGCGCGTAAACCTGGATCCTGAACGCCTCTCCGCACGTCTCGTCCGGGTCGCCCGTGCATGGCATATCGCATTCGTCCGGGTCGGCCACATCTGGCAGATGATCGTTCGTCCACCGATCACCGCACCAGCACTCCTGCGCATCCTCGACGCCCGCGAACGCGTGCTGGTGCGCCGAGCACGTCGCAATACACGCGTCGGGCGTGTTGTTCGTGGGGAGGAAGAAAAGCGACGCGCTGTCCCACAGGCGGACCGTCGAGTCGACCGCGCACGGAATGAGCGGGAACCAGCCGCAGCCTCCGCCTGGGGGCGCAGTCGGTACGCAAGCAGGCTCGGTCGTCGGCGTAGGCGGCGGGCCGCAGTTGGGATCGAGCGACTGCGGGCAGCCGGCGGCGCTCAAGCCGAAGAGTCCCATGTCGTTCACAACGGTCTCGCCGCTGATGGTGGTGCCGGACTCCTGCGTACATTCTCGTCACAAAAATTCGAGGGAATTGCGTCGGGTCACTCACGAGGTAGGTATAGGAGCACGACAACGTTTCTTCATTCAGCCCGTCGCAAAAGGAGCAAGAGCACTCGAGTTCGGAGAAGGATGCAAAGTAAGATTGGAACGTGAGCGGGTGTCCGTCGTTGTCTATAGGTGCGCAGACAGGGGTGCAACCGTCCGGCACGGCAACATTGACCACAGTCTCGACGAGCATTGCGAGAGCGACGGCCAGGATGGCATACATCGTTCTCTGGGGAATCGATGAATGCAAAGAGCGTACTTATAGATTTGGTCGCGTTTTGAACGGCGATTCTTTAGGAGCGCCCATTGTCCTTGTCCCAGGAAACATGTCAGTCCGCCCCGACATGGCCAGGAACGGGGAATCCGACTTGCGGTGACCCGCTTCTCCTTTAAGCGAAAACGCGTGCTTCACGGCGCAGGCAGAAGTGATCGACAACGAAGCTCCTATCAAGTCATCTTGCTGATAAGTGGGCGATTACTTCAACGACGTGTTCGATGTCTGGTCGTGAGTGCGCTTTAGAACAATATCGCGGGCATCAGGAGCGCTCATAGCACAAGAACACCCGATGCTCACGGAGGATTGTTCATCGCCGGACTTGACAGTTCATGGCAAGATGAAACGTGCGAGAACATCATAGATGAGTCTTTGAACACTGACAAGTGTGCGAGTCGCCAAGGCGAGCGATATCGGGATGCAAACGTTCGATGCTTCGGTGTGCCTTAACAATCGTTGAATTGGAGCGAGTGAGCATTGTCGCGGGCTCGGTCAACAACGCTGATGCATCATGCAGCTCACTCCAAGTCGTGTGTGCGGATAACGACAGGCCTCTAGCGGTAAAAGGTGATGTTGAGTTGTGCGGTCCGCGAAGATGGAAAATGCGAGGATCGTTGTGATGTAGAGACAGTACAATGCATCGCGGGCACTCATCGGCAGTCACGAATCATGCATAGTAACTTCTTTCGAGGAAGTTCCGTGGACGCCTGGCCCACAGTCAAGTCGGAACTGAAACATAAAAGGATAGGAGGCAAGCAAGCTTGCCAGTCCAGGATTAACAAAGCCGGTTTTTGTTGTGCATGTCTGTATTGTGACCGGTAAGTTAGAAGAGAATGACGATTCGCCAGGGTTTGCCGCTGATTGCGCTGGCATTGTTTGAGTTTGTTTTGGCACTGTGGCGTCGTACACGAGCCTTCCTCTCGTTGACTTTCGTGTCGACCTCGAGATGTCGCGTCGCTTTTCAGCTGCGGTGCTCTTACCTAGTGGAATAACACCCTCCGAGTGAAATGGACTCAAGAGAGTCTCGGAAGAGGCTTGATCGACAAAACTCATGGTTCTCCGCGCGTTCGTGTTGGCCATGTCTACAGTACATACGATTGCGCGGACGCTGTTCTACCTGCTTATTGTGACAAGCGTGCTAGACGCATATCCCTGCCAATGTCTACTGTATGGCTGCGGATATGGAGATGGCGCCATGCGTTCTGGTTCTTTTTCCGCGCGCGCCTCGAGGTCGCGCGGAATCCTCGCAAAGACTGCCTTGTACGGCACCAGAACTCTCCATCTCTTTGTACTTGTTGTTGGGTCCCAAAGTTTATTGCACCCGGGTTACTTACCAGTACGTCGATTGACGCCATTCCAGCTATATCTATCCAGAGCTCAAACCTTGTTGACAATGTTGACGGTCAACGAGACCTTTCAGCGAGAGCTTATCGCTCCGTTTACAAGCTGCGTTAGATGCTTCGACCTCGGAGCAGCATGAAATCTCCATTGCGGTCCGCAAGGCATATGGCTGACAGGAGATGACGTACACACACTCGACGATCACCACCGTAGCAAGGCTGCTTTCAAGAAAATCCAAATGCGTCGAACACGAGGCAGGCTCATGGGATATAAGATGTAAGAAATGCCTGAAATCGACGCTGACGCTTTCGCTCGCAGCGCATCTTCAACCTCTACTGCATGTCTCGTCGAGGCGTAGAAAATCCCGCACAGAAAACATTGGACGTACAGTCACTCGTATTCGCGCTCCTACTTGTTCGCATTGCTCATTCGTCTCTCCATTGTTTACAGGTCGAACGGAAATACGAAGGTACATTGCTGTGCTCATTGTTGTGGCGATGCTCATAAACTGCTCCTCTTAGACATTCTCGGGATTGTTTTCCCCAAATAACGATTGCGAGACCGATAGTTCCCTCGGAAGTCATCTAGAGGAGCTTGCTGACGAGATGTCATCCGATGACTTTGTCATGACCGAAACGGTCGTCATTTCGACCAGCGCCTACGCACTAAAGCGCAAAGAGCTGATGGAGCTCACGAGAGACTTGTTTGCCATGGGGTGAGTGATCTCCTCGATCGTGCCAAACTTGACGATGAGGATCTGATCTATCTACAGTGCACAAACGCTGATCGATCTGCCTCGAATTGCGGTTATCGGCGGACAGTCAGGTGAGAAAGCTTTCCCTTGAGGTGCAATCGCTGCCGACATCACACGATAGCGGGAAAAAGTTCTCTAGTAGAAGCCGTGAGCGGCGTGAGTACAACATGATCCGCTCACGAGACGATTGAGCTGAGCGAAAGATTAGATCAACGTTCCTCGGGACAGCGGTACCTGCACGCGGTACGCTTCATCTAAATAATTCTTATTTCGTCTACCGATTAAATGCGATGCAGCTGCCCGGTTGAATGCTCCCTCATAGGCAACGCGGCAGAGTGGTCCTGCCAGATCTTCCTCCGTTTTGACTTCGACAAGGACGGCCAAGCCCTCTCCCAGCCCACCAAATTCGAGTTTAGCCCTCGCCTCACCGACAAAGCTGATGTCGAGATCTGGATCCGTCGCGCTCAGGCGGCCATCCTGAGCCCGCACCACGACCATCGTATATTCCAAGCTCGCACGGCGCAAGAAATACGGGACCTGCTGAAGACGGATCCGAACATGCTGAAGTTTTCTCGAAACATCGTCTGCGTGAATATCATGGATCCAGATGCGACCGACCTTTCTTTCGTGGACCTGCCCGGTACCTTACATTCTGTCCGTGTTTCTCGGGTGTCATCGGACCGATGCCCTCCTATGTAGGGTTGATCCAGAACGAGACTGAAGCGGCCATCAAGCTCGTCCGTGAATTGGTAGAAGTCAACATCAGAGGCGAATCTACCCTCATACTTGTTACGATCCCAGCTAGTGGTCAGTTGTGCTGTCGCGATTGTAATCCCTGACTAACTCGTATCCGTGTAGACGACATGGAGAACCAGCAGGCCGTCCGTCTGGCACGTGAAGCCGACCCTCAGGGCAAACGCATCATAGGTACGGACACCTGACGCTATACCCTTACCTTCTTCTGAAATTGCATGTGCATCACGAACGCAGGCATCCTCACGAAACCGGATACGCTCACCAAAGGAGCGACCAGCGCTCGCCAGAAATGGAAAGCAGTCCTCGAGGGCACCGCACACCCACTCAAACATGGTAGGCACTCGTGTGGGCCAATCGTCTAATCTGACCCTCGCTATCTGCAGGCTATTACTGTGTGAGACTCCCCGACGACGACGAGAGAAATCGGGGAATTGGCCGCGATGAGGCTGAAAAGATTGCGAGCGAATTCTTCGACTCGACTGATCCATGGGACGAGATAATCGGCAACCAGCGAACGCGTTTCGGGGTGCCGAACTTCATCTTCAACATGAGCAACTTGTGGGCACTTCTCAATCACTGCGCCCGCGCTCCACTCTGACGATGATCTTGATAGGTTAATGGGCGTCATCGAATCCGCGTACGACCTCTACTTCCAAGTGCTTGGTGTTCTGCCTAACATGCCCACAGATTACCCAAGCTGAAAGCCGACGTCAACCGACTCTCTCTCGAGAACCTTGCCCTGCGTGCCAGACTACCCCTGCAGCTTACCAGCGACCCTGCCGCGGAGCTCCTCCGGATGATTACTGGCTTCTGTGCCGATGTCCGTTCCATTGTTTATGGCGAGAAGCAGGACGACATGCGGCTTGTGCAGAGCAACCGTGCGCTGTACGCCATCTTCAAGAAGGCCGTGCGCGCGACAGCGCCCGATTTTCGGCCGTTCGAAGACCACACGCGGTACCGGCTTCCACTGTTGAAAGGAGAACCTGAGTTCGACGACGAGTACGTGATGAGAGATGCGGGCGTCCGGGTAATGAACCTCTGGACAGTGCGCGGCGTAGTGCAACAGTAGGTGCCTTTTCTGGAGTACGACAGCCTTCTTACCGTACGTGCAGATCGATTGGATGGGAGCTAAAGAACAACGTCCCGTTCGCGGCAAAGAAGACGCTCATCCAAGGTTTCACGGCGCTCTGGAACACGCCTGCAATAGCATGTTTCAAGGCGGTTTATGCCGGTCTGGTGAATACCGTACAGATGTTGATCGAGAAGTACTTCGGCACGTTCGATCGCCTCCGGGATCGGATAAGGTGCGCGGCATTCATACTCATCTGTACAAGGGTCGCTGCTGAAAGGCGCAACGCAGCGTCGCGGTTGAGAGGCAAATTGTGGAATGTCGCGGGGCAGCGAATCAAGCTCTTCTGTCCCTCCTCAAACTAGAGAATGCGCCACTCTTCACCCAAAACGACTACTACTTCGAGGACGCCCGGTGCAAATGGCTCGCGCATTACCACGAAGTTCGCCGAGACCGGCATATTCATCTGCAGCGCGCTGCCTTAGCGAAAGCCCAGGCCGAGACTCCGTACAGCACCGACGAAGAGGACGAGGACGAGGACACGAGCGTCTTCGCGGGTGTGAAGGGCGAGTCATCCGATCAGTCGGCGTTGAGGGCGCTGGCGATGCGAGGCTACGGTGGGATCAAGCTGAGCAACTTGAAATGCCTTCACCCACAGGAGGACTTCGAGAATGAGCTGGTCGTCATGGCGGACGTGCGGGCCTACTTCCAGGTCGCGTACAAGGTGATTTCTGCCCCGCATCTTCGCTCGCGATTCAGAGCAGCGACGCTCACTTCGTTTTCATCCGACAGCGCATCATCGATTACGTTCCGCTCGCTATAGAACACGCGCTGAACCAGGCGTTCGCGGAAGGCTTGCAGGATCAGCTCTTCGCCAATCTGGATTTCACCTCTGAAGACGCCTCGGAAAGGTTCAAGGAGCTAATGAGCGAGAACCCGATTGTGGCGGCGAAGAGACGCGAACTGGAGGACAAGCGGAGGCGACTCGCCGATATCCAACGCAAGCTTAACGAGTTCAAGATTTAGGAACCGTGTTGTGGTTTACCTCGCAGTGATGATTAGAATGCATGCGATGCCGTCTGTGCTGGCATATGTCGAAGGGAGAGGGCGGTCTCGTGTGCGGCTTAGTAGACTTAACATCGCCTTGAGCTCTCTCGTTTGGAATGCTTGTCCCTGGAATGTATATGCAATGGTCGGCTCTCCACAAGGGCGATCAGTATGCCTAGGGTTATATGTGTAATCGATGGCCTTCGAGTCTAACCAATATGATGCCCATGACCGTCCGCTGTCTGAGCATACCCACAGCTTACTTTGGTAAGTAACTCTACGTGGCGCATTAAAAAAGCCCCAGGAAAGCACACCTTGTACTGTGAAGTATTGGACAGCGCTAGTGCACGCAGTGGCACGCGGCTGGGACTGACCTGGTGAGCTTGTAGAGCTTACTGGTGGGGACTGCTGATAGGAAGCGAGTTATCATTAGGGGCCGACAGGCCTGCTCTTATATACTACAAAGGAGTGGCTATGCAGGGCTGTACGCTATCATACCAGTGCAGATGGCTACGCTGTCCAATGATGTGGAAGGCTGTGAGAACAGCCATGCTGTGTCGCATGTGACCAAGGCTGTGTAGAGCCTAGTTCAACACTCCCCCTTGCTAAGTGCCCGTAAGGGTCGCAAGCATTCTAGGCGCGCTTCGCAGCCGTGGGGAATACCATTCCTAGGAACGGTCGGAACTTGAGGAACTTCACATGTCCCAGATTTTTCGTGAGCATGTCGGCTGGGTTGTCTTGCCCATCGATGTGAACAACGCGCACAGTGTTGTCGTCTATGCGGTCACGGATGAAATGGTAGCGGATGTCGATGTGTTTTGACCGCTTTTCCGTGACAGGATTTCCTGCAAGATGCAAGGATCCTTCATTGTCACCAGCAATCTCAATTGGCCCTAGATTATAACCGAGCTCTCGCATCAGGCTAACAATCCAGGTGATTTGGCGGCTACAATCAGAGAGCGCCATGTACTCCGCCTCAGTGCTAGAGAGAGCGGTTGTCTTCTGCAATGAAGACTGCCAAGAGAATATGCCTTTGGCCAACTTGGTGAAATAACCGGTTTGAGACCGACGAGTGATAGGGTCAGAGGCCCAGTCAGAGTCTGTGTATGCCGAGAAGCCCATTCTGTCTGCGCCATCGTACACAATAGAGTACGTCCGCGTCCCAGCGAGATAGCGGCAGATATACAGCGCTTTATCAAGGTGCTCTTGGGACGGGTTGGCAGCATGACGAGCCATTTGAGTGACGGCAAAGGCGATGTCAGGTCTCGTACCAATCATCAAGTACATGAGTGACCCAATGACTTGCTGGTACCGGTGTCGCAGGTCTATATTGACCGCGTCTGGGTTAGGAAGTGGATGGAAACCATCTGGGAGAGGGGTTTGCGCAGGTTTTGCATTCTGCATATCAAAGCGCTCAAGCACTTTCTCCAGGTAGGCGCATTGATCAATCTTTATTGTGCTGCCATCTCTGGTGATGCGCATGCGCAGAAACTCAGACAAGGGTCCAAGATCGCGGCATTCCCAGATCTTCATGAACTCGGCCTTGACCTTGTCCACAAAGGGTTTGTTCCTTCCGCAGAAGAATGAGTCGTCGACATAGACGACGGCGACAATTGTTTCTCCATCACGTTTCATGACGAAGATACCGGCGTCAGATCTCAAGCGTGTAAAGCCGAGCTTTGACATGGACTTGTCAAGGGTGCGCCACCACGCTAATCCCGCTTGCTTTAGTCCGTATAGTGCGCGGAGTAGCCGGTATACTTTTCCGCGCGAGCCAGGTTCAACGAAACCTTCAGGCTGCTCCATGTAGATTTCTTCATCGAGTTTGCCATAGAGGTAGGCGCTGCGCACATCGAGAGCGGTGATATACCACCCTTCCAGTGCAGCAAGTGCGAGTATAAGTCGCACTGACTCGAATCGGACGACAGGAGAGAAGACTTGGTCGAAGTCAACGCCTTCTATCTGGGAGAAGCCTTTGGCAACAAGCCTAGCTTTCTTTCGACCGTCAGTTTTGACGTCGAAGACCCAACGGTTCTTTATGACTTTTCGGTCACTTGGGCGATCAACAAGTTCGAAAACTCGGCGCTTGCGGAGCATAGTTAGCTCATCTTCGCATGCAGCCCTCCATTCCTTTTGCTCAGCGGGTGGAAGTCGCTGTATGTCACGATACGTCCATTCTCGAACGTTGGAATCGGCGGGATGAGCATCAAATGGTGGAATTGCGCAATTAAGCAGCATTTCGATGCAACGGACTCCCCCTTCCCGGCATAGTTTTGCCAGTTTGGACTCGCCGTTATCGGTGGGCTCAGGTTGGCGACGTTCGCTGGAGCTGGGTTGGTCAGAACTAGGTCCGGGAACCTGTTCATCTCGACGATGTGGTTCTGCTCGGTCGCGACCCGAGCGGATTCCAACTGTCTTTTCCCAATTGCTCCGTCGCTCAATATCCCGATATTGATCTACAGGCGGTCGTGATTCGCCATAGATATTACCCTCTCGACGAGTAACTCTCCTTTCGCGCGTAGAACGACGCGGACCAGGTGGTGCAGGCGCCTCTGGCTGCTCCGCTCCCCCTTGCGGTGCGTCAGGTTCTCCCGAAGCGCGTTCAGGCGGTGTCGGGCTGGGCGCATTATGCTGCTCCGGCGCGTCGTCACGCGCTTTGCCCTTACCCTTTGAGGAAGGTGGTTTGGGAGGAGCTGCCGGTGGCAGCTCATCATCATCGCTCAATTCCGGCAAAGGAAGAGGTTGATCGTGTGGGTCGGTTGGTGGTGCCGTAGGCAACCTATCCGTAACACGTCGTTTCTCGGTCTTTTCGCACTTAGGGAATAAACCCTCATCGAACAGAGCATGAGCGCTAGTGAAAACCACATTGTTCGGCGATCGCATAAAGCGAAAATTTGCGATATTGCCAGGATGCACCCCAATATAAGTCATTAACTCCGACTTTGCAGCAAGTTTATTTGCGCGAACGTCGGTTGGGATGTGTACATAGGCACCGCAGCCGAATACTCGAAGATGCTTCACCGAAGGAGCTTCTCCAAGTAGTTTCTCATGCGGAGTCGCCCATTGATGGCGCCTCAGGGGTGTTCTGTTGTAAACATGGCACGCATGTTCGATGGCGAATTCCCACCAAGATTGAGGGATGCAGGCGTCATGCCGCATGGCTTCAGCCTTATCCATGAAAGTGCGCATAAAGCGTTCAGCACGACCGTTTTGTTGTGGCGTGTGCGGAGCACTCTCATGAATCTCAATGCCTTGAGAACGCAGATAGTCGCTGAGAGCTTTTGACTTGTATTCCCCGCCGAAGTCAGACATCCAGTGTTTGACGGTGGCACTATGCTGGTTTTTGACCATTGCAATGAACTGCTTAATGGCCGTAGTCGCAGCATCTTTCGAGCGCAGACAAACAATCCAGGCATAGGAGGTGTAGTCGTCAAGCATGATGATTGCATACTTGAATTTGTGGTACGACTCCACAGGGAAAGACTTCAAGTCCGAATGGATGAGCTCAAAGGGCTTATTTGCGCGACGTGGGTTCTCAGGGAACGGCCGCAAGGGCATCTTGCCCTGCGCACATCCACGGCAAAGAGGATCCTTTTTAGGGAACTCAATCTCAGGGAAATCAAGGGTATGATCCCGAGCATGGCGAAGAGCATCGCGCCCAGCATGGGCAAAGCGACGGTGCATGACTCCGTGGTCAACAGAGTTTGCAACACCAATGAAACCGACGGTAGGATTTAACGTCTTGATGGCGTAGACCGTATCTCCGGGACGTCTAACTGGAAATGCCATGAAGGGTTTATCGTTCTCAGTCAGGGTGATGTGGTCAGCATCGCCTCGGACCTTCATTCCTTGCTTCAAGAAGGTGCCCATTGAGATGAGCGGTCCTAGGAGCCCTGGCAGGTAGTAGACCGGTCCGATGCGAACAACCGATGGTCCGTTCCAAATGTCATTGTAACGGAGTACCGAGGTACCGCGTCCTTCAATGAAGACGACACCATTTGCGGTTAGGGTAGGTATGCGCTCCGAGGGTTTGAACTTTTCAAAATCGAGGAAGTCGTCCATGTTACCCGTTATATGCAATGAAGCACCGGAGTCGAGCATCCAAGTTCGCCGGATCTCCTCAAGCTTAGGATTCGTCCCTTGCTTTCTCTTCCCCTTACAATGCGCACATGCAGCATAAGTAAGCCCGTGAGGGTACATGTCATTACGGTCGTTACAACAGGGGTTCGATGCGATATAGTATTTACATGCGTCTAAATTGCGCAAGGCGCAGAAGAGCACGTTAGCATCATGTAACGCTGACATGTGGGTGAGAGGGACATACCCGTCATCAGCCCAAGGGCGGTCGGCCCAGTGCGCAGGCTCAGGGAGCGCGCTCGCATCCTCCACAAACTGGTCGCCAAAGGGGAACAGGTCGTCGATCTCGACGTGACCGGTAGAGACCATGTCCACATCGCTGTCGGCGAAGATGTCGAGCAGCGATTGGCAGCCAACTGGGATGGGAGCCGCGATGTCCTGCTCAGAGGAAGAACCTTCGGCAGCCTGACCCGTTAAGGTCGGCGCTCCGGTCGTGTCCGCTACTTCGGCACTCCCTATGCTTTGCATGAAGGAGTCGCTCGAGCCCTCAGAAATCCGATCTTCTAGGCGCATCTTCTTAATAGGGGGGTAGAAGTCGTCCACGTCGTCGTCGTCGCTAAACGCATTGCCATAGGTTTGCAGACGGAAGTCGGCGCGTTCCTCTAAGTAGGCATGCCACTCCTCCTGTGAGGGAGGCGGCAGCGATGACTTGGCGGCGTTGAAATCGAGCTCGATGTTGCGGAGCGTATTGCTCGTGGTAGGGATACCAAGAGCGTGAGCGATCTCAAAGCCGGCCTGTACATCGCGGTAGACGGAGGGCTTGCCGCTAGACTTGACGACGGGGCGATGCATGCGCATGTCGGTAGGACCAGGTACTCCAGGAGTAGGGACAGAGGCGACGCTCGCGATATGCGAGACTCCCGATGCGATGACGTGCATCCCATCCTCAGAGTCAACATCAGCGATATGGGTGTGCTGCGAGTGGTTCTTCTTTTTGTTACCACCGCGCTTCCCTCGCTTCTTGTTGTTGGACCCGGAGGATTGCTGGTTCGAGCCGCTGGAACCGGAGTTATTGTCACGGTTATTCTTCAGCTGGGCGTCGAAGGGTTTATCGCCATTCTTCTTTTTGATGGCAGTGATGCGCTTGGCATCAGGTGGCTGGCTCCTCTTGCGCAGAGAGTTAGACTCCCAGGCGCTAATGACGGCCGTCCTGATCGTCTCTGGGTCGATCTGCGCAGGGTCGGTATTCGCATGGTTCTGGCGAACCACCTCCAGGTTCTTCGGGAGCTTCGACAGAAGCATCATACCAAAGAGCCACTTCGGCAGGGATTCGGTGGATGGGTCCGAGGATTTACCCGTGGAAGGGCGGACCTTGATCTGCTGAAGACGGTCCCAACAGGCCTGCAGCTCGTTAAGCGCTGGCACGGGGGATTTGTCGTCTGGGATCTGAACCCGCTGCATAGAGACGAAGTCGGAGTATGCGTTGCCGACACGCTGCTGGCCGTAGTTGCGGCGAAGGAGGTCCAGGACTTTGTCAGGCTCGTCTTGGTCCTTCAGCGTTTGGCGGATGCTTTCGGAGACGCGCAGGAGGATGGAGCCAAGGGCCTTGTCGCTCTTCTCGTCATAGGACCGCTGGCGGTCCTCCTTGGCTATCTTCACGGCTTCCTCATCGCCGGAGGCTGGGGTATCGGGGCGAGCATCATTGATGATATGCCAGAGCCCCTGCTGCATGAGATAAGCCTTCATGCTCTGCTCCCACATGACGAAGTTGGTGCCATTGAAGATGGGGACGAGGTCGACAACAGAGGATCCTTTGGACGAGGACATTGCGAGAACGATGAGAGGTCTGGTGAGGCAACAGAGTCAGCTAAAATGTCAGCGACAATGTGCAAGCAGCCGTCCATGGCGCTGAGACCCCTCTGGGCAGCGCCGAAGCGCGCCCTAGGCAGCAACTGCGCGCCATAGGCAGCAGCAGTGCGCCATGCAGCAACCGCGCGCCTAGGGCAGCAGCAGTGCGCAATGACCACCATAGCAGCACGTCGATAACGACGGCGCTCAGGCCAGTCTGTCAGTCGCACAGGGTGCAGCAGCAGAGTGCGCTCCCCAGCGCCTGACAGGGCTCATAACCTATTGGACAGCGCTAGTGCACGCAGTGGCACGCGGCTGGGACTGACCTGGTGAGCTTGTAGAGCTTACTGGTGGGGACTGCTGATAGGAAGCGAGTTATCATTAGGGGCCGACAGGCCTGCTCTTATATACTACAAAGGAGTGGCTATGCAGGGCTGTACGCTATCATACCAGTGCAGATGGCTACGCTGTCCAATGATGTGGAAGGCTGTGAGAACAGCCATGCTGTGTCGCATGTGACCAAGGCTGTGTAGAGCCTAGTTCAACATGAAGACTTGATCGTGTGTCGTGTCCTATTTCGGCGTGGTCGACGTAATTAAATTGTCGGACGATGCGAAGTTGTACCGGTATGGTCAATATTTGTGTTTCATCAACTGAAGTGCAAATGTCGTAACTCATTATACCTCCCAGAAGTTCTACGATGTAGTCCTGTAGAACTCTTCCCAAATGGAAATGTAGACGTCGCTAGTACTAGTAGGGCAGCTTGTGAGTCGCGTTGCGTCGCGTCGCGGGCTCGAGGCGCCCACGTCCACCGTGTCACGTGGGACCAAACAGGCCAGAAAAGGAGCTCGTTGAAGCAGCGTCAAGTCGACCGGATACGCAACAAAAAGGCTTGTTTCATCCATCGAAACTTGCTCGTTTCATCTTGCTGAGGCTGAGCTGAGAATTATATCTTTTTGAACTGGATCTTTGATTTTCTCCGCACAAATGGCCCCCAACCCGACAGGGAACGAACGAAGCATGAAGCGGCGAGCCCAGCACCCTTCGCCGGAAACTAGCGCTCCCAAAGTAACCAGGAGTATTGCGCGCTCCACAAATCGGCTAGCATTTAACTGGCACGGTGTCGCAAGCCAGCTTGGAGAGGCGACGTCGCGGGCTGCATCCGGTACGCGCCCAATCCATCTTATAATTATGGACGTTCCGTGATCGCCGACCTCGTAGGTAGTAAGGAACCAGTATACAACCTCCGCCGCGGTCGCGAAGCGTACCCTCGAGCTTCTACTGCACCATCCAAACCGTGCCCCCCACCTCCTAAACCCCGTAAACCCGAAGCTCCCCACCCACGACATGAAGTTCTCGAAGATGAGGTCCTCCCTCGTCCTCGACGTTCCACCAAACGACCCATGCCTCCCGCTCCAGAAGGACGGGTTCCCAAGCGTCGTCGCACCAGCGATGACGTAGAAGCGGGCAGCTCGCAGCAGCCATCACGTTGGGTGAAAAAAGCCAAACGAGCTACGGGCGAGCTGAGGAAGCTGCTGCGCGAAGCCAATGGGGTTCACGAGCTTGTAACGAAGACGGAACAAGCGATAGCACGCGCCTCGGAAAGTGTGAAGAACATGGTGCACGACGTTGATATGCTCGACGCACGCCGTACGGCATCCTCGCGGGCCAACCGTACTCGCCAGAGTACTGCGGTCCCGATTCATTCGTACGTTTGACAAACTGCGACTCTTGTCCTGCGTGTGCTCATTATGCTCACGATAGAACACCCGCCCACGAGACGGCGTCCCTGCCATCCGTCCCGAGAAGCGGCACAGACGCAGAAAAGACCTCCGACCTTCAGGCCGCCCTCGTTGCGCTGATAAAAGCGCGAGTTGATGAAAACAAGGACACTGATAAGCGTTCAATGGATGGCGTTCTTCGCTCTGTACTCGATGCGCTGATTGACGCCGACCCCCGAGAAAACACGACATGCTGTACATGTCGACCTACAGCCAGTCAACGACGGCGCATCGAGGAAACGAAGTTCTCGAAACCGAGGCCTCGCATCGGCGCGGACGCACAAGGGTTCCCATACGACGACCGCAGCGCATGTTCAATGTCCGACCCTCATCCGGACCGCCTTACGAGTAAGGAACGAAACGTCGAAAAAATGCTCGCTTTGGGTCGACCAGATCCGTTCATGGATTCTTTACCTGGGCTATCGGTACGACCACGACCAAGGGCTCCAAGGGTGTTCAAGCAACAGTTCACCGTCCAATTCCAACATTTACCCCCCGGCGTTCTCGCCGAGATGGAGCGTTGGCATGTCGAACTGGGCCGCTGCGGAAATTGTATAATGAGGGCGATGCGGACGTTCCCTCCTTGGATTATTGAGGTTGAATGGCCGGCAGTTGCGGAGGACGGATGTCCCGTATATGAGAACCGAGCAAAGGCTGAGGTGGCCGAATGGGATGAGGAGCGAAGACAGTGGCGTCATCTGATCCTAGATCATTACCGTTGGATACCCGTTGAAGAACTTGAGGAGAGACCCAGCGACAGTGCGGCAGATCCTGAAGTTGTCAATGGGACAGCACATGCATCTATACCTTGGGACGCTTTGATTGACTACGATGCCCTCAATGAATAACCATTAATCGTGATTGCCGGCAAACCTCCACCCGTCCTTTCGGGACCGGATCAATTAAGAAGTCAACACGTATCAGAGTGATCGCGCATTATTTGCCCTCGAGCAAGTTGATGTCTGTGCCCCCGCTCGTGCAACGCCACATCGATCCGATTTGGGCCATTACCAAATATGGCCGTCACGCGCAGCCGGCCACCGTTGTGCTACAACGCACAACTACCTTCGATTATTTCTTCCCCTGCGCGATATGAGACTCAGCTTAATCATGGTCGTGGCCTTGCCAGTGTATCTTTTCACACTCTTGGCCTTGCAAAACTTCTTCAGCGTAACTCCGACCGACGCCAAAGTCGCAGACAATTGTCCTCGTAACAACAACGAATTCTTGCAAGGCCACCGTCCATGAGTGGACCTGGGGCGACTTTGTCAAACAGATATAAATCTGAAGGAGGTTGCCTCCTTGGTCTCACCCCACCAAACTCGCACTCGCACCTGCATGGCTGAACGCGTCCCAACCCTGCTGGCGGACGCCAGGCTTGCTGCCCGACATATCGCAATCAAGCACCAGTTGCTACACAGGACCCACTGGGGACTACTAGAGTCTCGCACCAACGGAGAACCAGACGTCATCTTCAACAAGTCATCGTCAACTTGGCTGGTCTGCCGCGACACGGCTGGACTCGTTCGAGCCAGCAATGATGTCCCAGGTGAGTAGTACATGATCTCGCACGAAATGCATCTGATCACTCACTACTACAGAGTCATTCCAAACCATCGTCACTATTTCCAAGCAGGGGGACCAGGGGACGGAGACATTCAAGATCACGCCGGCCAATGACCTCTATGGGATCAAGGTGCGCCACCGTTACTGCGATCGGTTTCCTCTATCTCACGATCTTCTATCAGGTGAACGATGAATTCCTCAAGCCCGAAGAGTACACCTTGCCCCGCGACTCCACTGTGTACATTGGCAAGACAGGTCCGTACCTCATTGTGACTCACCTCCAAGTCGGCTTATCCAGCTGGTACAGAGTACATCTTCCGTTCCTTAACGGATGTTGATGAACCTCCCTCTCATGCTTCTCGCTACCAGATTAGGCACGGATTAGCGAAGGCAGGCGGACAAGGAGGTGAGCGTCGCCTATCATTAGGACGAGGCTCGTTAATGAACTCCGCACTTAGTCGTCCAATTCGGGAAAACCGTTGGCAACCAGCGCGAATACGCTGTCGCTATCAAGCGCATGGATGTGCAATATCGACAGTTGCAGAACATAGCATTGGAGCTGAGCATCTGGGAATCGCTGGATCATCCCGCGATCCTTCGCTTGCATGACTGGTGGATTGAGACCGACGACAGTAAACCCGATGTCGTCGAAGTCTGTGAGTAATGGTACGAAGTCTATTGCTGTGAACATGCGCTGACTGTCCCACAAGACACGGTCTCCGCGCTCGCAGCCTTTGGCACCCTAGAAGATTGCATACAAAACGAAGGACCTCTCTGTGAGCAATAATCCTTATGAACCATGCACTCCAGACCCGTGACATCGTTATTTCCCGCAGCCCCGGCCCTCGCTCGTTTGGTGCTGACTCAGATCATTGACGGCCTCCTCGTGAGTTGAGTCGATCGTGTATGCTTTGCTCAGCTCAGAATTGTTGCAGTATATGCATTCCCAGGGTATAATGCATTGTGATTTGAAGCCCTCCGTTCGTCCCGTCTCTTTCCCAACACCGACCTCGCGGCGCTGATGCACCGCAACCAGAATGTGCTTGTCTTCCACAAGGACGCAGACTCCATTGCAGTCAAGATCTGTGATTTCGGCCTTGTTAAGCAAAGGAAGAGGGATCCCTTTTTGGATGTTGTAAGTACACATCGCTCACCTCGCAGCGAGCCAGTCTGAATTGAGTCATTTGTAGGAACCCGCCGGCAGCGCTGGCTGGGCCCCTCCTGATATTTTGAATCACGTGTACAACGAGAAGAGCGAGTCCTTCGGCGTTGGCGCGATCATGTTCTTCTTGTGCGTGCTGTTCACAAGTTCTGGCGATCCTGTATCTCATTGTTATGGCAGGTTGTTCGCAATGCGCCCCTTCCTGCTGCTTCGAGAGAAAAAACGGAGCCCACTGCCCACCCGCATCTCAACCCGAGTGCCACAGATAGACCAGGTCACTCCGGAAATGATGAAAGACATTGGTGATGCCGGTAAAACTGGACTTCCGCCTCCTCCTCCTCCAACTTCTGATTTATTGGTGATTCGTAGGCCAAGATCTATTAAAACGCCTGATGGAGCCGCAAAACTGCAAGCGGATCAGCCTGGAGGACGCTTCCGACCATCCGTTCCTGGTTCCCACTAGACCGTTCGAACTACTCGCTTTCAACAACCCTCTCGTGCAGAACTTCCTTTCGAACAAGGACGGCAAGGGAAACTACAGCGCCGCTGGGACCCCGATACCCGAGTTTATCGGCGTTAACGACCTTGGGCCTCCCGCAACGACGGAGCCTCCCGAGACGCCTAGACGTCAGCCCGGTGTACTCGGCAATCTGGTTCGGAGCCCCCGTGAGCTAGCCAGCACCGTTTCTGAGGTTGGGAGCACCGGCGTGAACGAGATCCGTGGCGACGTCGAGCTCGATGGCAACCTGGTGGTTCATGGTAACGTGGTCGTCACTGGCAAGGTGGTAGTCATCGGGGCGGTGGAAGTCCTAGGAGAGGCGAAGGTTCGCGGCCCCTTCACGGTGCACGGCCAGCTCATGGGCCTGCATCCTCTCGACCACGATTGCGAAAATTACCGCAGCGAGACGAACGCGGAAGATGAAGCCAGCAACTCCGACAGCCATGACGAGTCGATCGATCCGGACGAGCTGCCGGAGCCGTCACAGACTCCCGTCCCGTTTGCCCCGGAGAGACGGGCTGCAACTCAGGGCTACCGATCCGGCCTTTCGCTTATGGCGTCGGTTTGGCCAGGCACGGAGGTTCCGGATGCCGACTATGGTTTTCCTGAGGTCGACGATGACGCTCGGAGCGATGACACCGTGATGGCTGGTGCTCCAGGAGAAGCGAGTGCAAACCCTATCCCGCGCTCGTCCACCAGCGGCGCCGATCTTCTTGCGATGGATAACGTTGCTGAGGTGGAGATGCGGCTTTCGGCGGCAGTAGGTGATGATGCCAGTTCCCCCGACCTGGCCGGACCTTCGCAAGGCACCGAACGCGAGGGTGGTGCAGCTGTGGACGCGTATGCCCGGAACGAAATCGCAGAATCAAGCAACCATGCTATCCGGCCTCGCCGATCTGCACGGAGGACCGCCGGTCAAGGCCGAGGAGATGAAGCAGGCACCACGAGTGCGAGAGTCGACCAAGGAGAACAGCAGGATTCCGACGACGAGTCGAATGGGCTCAACAACAAGCGGAGGAAGACGAGGAGCTCCACCAGGAACAAGAAGCTCAAGACGACGAAGAATTGACGTGTTACATCGATTCAGGCCGAACAGGGCCTGATCGAATATATCTTCCTCTGTGTCAAGCCGCATACACGAATGGCCGCATCGAGGTTGGACAGTCTCTTTCCCTCTTTTCTCTTTCCTTTATCCACGAAGCCGCAAACACGGAAGGCTTTCTCGTGGGCTATCACTCCCCGTTCCTTATTTCCACCGTCTTCCGACTTCAGCCGCATACACGAACGACTGGTTTGATGACAGTCCCCCTGATTCTTGACTTCTATATTCTACAAAATCGGATACACGGATGTACGCCTGCCAGTCGCTCCTTGATGATGCTATGCTCCCTGCATGTATTTTATGCCTTATGTTGTAATGAAACTCGTGTTATCCACCACCTACACAACTGAGACCGGGCATGTTGCCGTTGGGGCGGGTTTGGGACGACCAGGATTGAGACTGAGAGGAGTCCGACAATGCAATCGATGAGTTCGATGAGTACCTCGACGCGTCCAATGGGTTTCGATGACGCGTGATTCAGACGGGAGAAGCTGACTCAGTTTGGGCTGCTTTCCCTGTTCACGCCTCCGCCGTTTTCTCGAAATGTCCGTCGCGGAGCCAAGAGCAAATGCGTCGTTTCCGGCGCAGGTGAATATCTAGGAGAACGGATCCCTCGGAACTAGTTACGACTACCTCTTTTCGCGAACCTTGTACGATGGGATCCGGAACAGGCACTATTTCCTCCATGTCCATGCCTGTCGATCTGAGCGGGAAGAGTAGGAGGGACTCGCAGAAGGAGTGCAATGAGATACTGGAGAGAATTCAAGGACACCTCAAACGTATGACTATGAGCTGTCGTCCGGACTCCGGCGCATGACGCTTCAACATTTCTGTGGAAGGTACACTCATTATATTTATGCTCCGTATCCAGTCACCGACCATCTCACAGGTGATACGCAAAAACATGCCTGACCATTCTCTCCTTCCGCCGACATGGGTTCGCTGCGCCTAGGAAAAGGGAGTGAGCGAGCTCTGCATGTATAAAGGAGCTCAAGAACCCGTCGGCCGGGTCGTGCGATGTTCGACCCATCGCCACGAAGATGAGGAAGGCGAGGGCGCGCACCACCGAAAGCATCATGTATCCGCTGGGTAACATCAGAATGTGTCATTCGCGCCGAACGGCAACTTCGCCACCGCGAGGTACTCACGGAAGTGAGAGCGTCTTTCCGAAGTTGTACGTCCGTGCTTCGCGAACAAGATCTTGGATGTACTTATAGTTCAGATATGTTCTCCTGGGGGATAGGCTACTTGTCGTACCGGCATGCATTCTCAAGCCCGTCACGGCCCACACAGAAGTGGGTGATCATCGCATTGGAAGAAGGCGGCCTACGTGTAAGCGGGAGATGGACCTCATGCTGGGGAAGCACATCGAGAAGGTCACCACGCGTATATATGAGTCGAGACTGCCCCACTTGAGGCCACTCGTTCGCTCCCGAAAGCTGCACCGAGTCACTTAGTATTATCGCTTCGTCGCGCAATTTGCAGCGCATTTCACTCTAGAGTTATGCCATTCCGCAGAGACATCGGTTCGGAACAGCCGCCGAGGGATGAACATGCCGACAGCTATGTGGATCATCTGGAGGTCGATGTGCTCATTGTTGGTGCCGGCTTCGGCGGAGTTTACCTACTGCACAAGCTCGCGTTGGCGACCATGGCGTGCGGTAAGAATCGTTGTATTTTCTACCGCTACTACAGTACAGCATACACAACCGCGTGTATGTCACAGATCCGTCTGTCAAACGAAATAAATGACCCGATGCATTTTCCTCTTCACCTTCAGCGACACCGGCGGCACGAACTACTACCCCCACTCCGTCGTGCACGCCATGCTACTGTGTTGGCACAAAGGCAAATGATTGCATCTCGACGTCAAGCCCGCGATACC